GGGAGCAATCGAGGATTCGGGTCTTTAGGCTATTGTGGACAAACATGGCTACTCCACCGCCAGTCCGGTTTACCCGGTCATGACGGAGCAGGATGTAATTAGGCAAGGAGACTGAAGATGATGGAATATAAGGTTTGAGCCAGGTTTCGGATATTGCTATGATATGATAAAAGTTTTGGGTAAAGTATTGCAGGAATTCGTCATAATGGGCAGAAAGTGATTGAGAGTTAACTTGACATGTGATTAGGGAACTAGACATACAGTGGATTTGGAGAGAAACAGTCAGTGTTTGGTAGCGAGAAGACAAAACGAGTAGAAAGTACAGAAAAGCGATTATCGTACATGAAACTAAGTGAAGAAAAAGTAATATTAACATTAAAAATAAATAAAGAGAATGTACTTGAAAATAAATAGATTGATGAGTGACGGTGTAGAGATAGCACTAAGAGAAGAAGTAAGACTATTTTAATGAGGCTAAAGGGTTGACGGCTTCTCGGTAGTCAGTCAAATACATCTAGATCCGAGGCCTGTTCTATCAGGATGACTCTATGTCCGTCCTCTTTTCGACACCGCACCTTTCCGGAAGCAAACCACGTATATTTGATTTTTCCCGCCGCTCTCTTCTGCCGAGCTAGCCAATAGAGGTGTCTATTTGTGCGAGTCATCTCTTCACCCAGATAAATTCGGTGGCAGTCATTTTCCTGCCAACCGATATCCCGCGTGGAGAAATCCCTCTTCACTTTCCTTTTCGTAATTAGATCATCTCTAATTGATTGCCTGACACAGCGTGCGATAACAGGCGGGGGTCGCGAGTCATCTTTTCGGCTTCTGCGGCGATGTACGTTGTCCAGGTCCTCCACACTAAGCCTGATCCCCAAGCTTGCTCCTATACTGGTCACCAAAGCTGCGGGCGTTTCGCCCGGTCGCTCCGGTATACCGCGGATCTCCAGTGATCTACTCAATAGTCCTTGCTCTGCGTTATTCAAGCGAACCTCCAATTCGCCCACTCGGGATTTGAGTGCTTTGTTTTCTAATAGTATCTCCTCAAACTTTTTAGCTTGACCTTCCAGATGTTTTTCAATCTTCGTCAGTCTTTCGTTTAGTTCAAAACTGAGCTCTCCGTATTTATCTAGTGCTGTTTTCATGTTTTTTATATCTTCGTTCACGGTAGCGTCTAAACGATTTACTGCCGCAAGTATTTCTGAGGGGGACGGCTCGGTATTTTGTTTTTTCACCTGTTCGCAGTTAGAGCAAACCCATGTTTTTTTAATTATTTTTAATGCTTCGGTGTCTTTATCATTAAGGTTGACGCACCTACCATGAAAAATTATTTTACACTTAACGCAGTGTATATTGTTCTTATCTTCGCGTGCGATAGAGTTGTTGCAAATATTACACTGCACCATTTTTTAAATTTATTAATGAGAATTACTTCGCAATTAAAATATAAATAAATACCAGGACTGTTGACGGTAGTAAACAACGTCTAATGCTGGTCTAATGCTGTTAGGATTAGTAGACGCCTGCCAGCTCGTTGCTCCCAGAACTCTATCAATCTCGCTGCGTTTTCTTTACTCCGATTATTGTGAAGATCCGACACTTAATAGCGTGATTAATAATAGTGTTTTTTTTAAAAAAGAGAAGAAAAAAAAAACTGAACTTAACTAAACTGAAAATTAAATTAAAGTAAACTGAGTCTATTATATGAACGAATTACACCGATGTACACACCAGGGCGTCTCAGGCCAGACTCCCTTTATTGAAGGTTATAAACGTATCCATGAAATATTTTTATATTTCACTTCTTCTTTCACACAAGTACTATGAAATAGTATCTTAAACCATCTCATTGCCTTGAATCCGTCGGTTTTAAATACTTTTTCAAAATTTAAAAGTTTACATTTACTAAGAAAATTTCATTCAATTTCCTTGAAAATATGTTGTTATTTATATATTTTTCACCGCTTTTCGTTACCTTCCACAACTTTCTCTATTACATATTGTTTTTTTCTAAAATTATCCGCTTTCCAATGATATATTATATGTATACCTTCTGACCAGAATTTCCGGAGATTCATTTTCGACCTGTATAAGTATTTTTATTTTTTTTCTCCTTTATTTAATTATCAAATTCTTCCAAAAGTTATATTTAGCATTTTTCCATAACTCCTAATAATGATAAATAGTTATTATTTATAATAAACCAAATTAAAGGTACTTCAGAGGAAGATATGATAATGTTGGGGTTTCACTAAGAGAAAATTCATCAAATTATTCACCAATTTAATTTTTAGTTACATGACAATTTTTCGGACTAAACGTTGATACCTAAATATTTAAATATAATATCAGATCTATAATCACTAAACTGTAGTAAATATATTTAAGGTTATGGACAAATACTTTATACATCCATGAAATGATTTAATATTTTACTTTTTCTTAAACACAAGTAGAATGAAATATTTTTTTAACAATGCCATTGCCTTGATTTGGTGGATTTTAAATACTTTCTACAGATATAAAAATATTTTTTGAAGTTCACATTTAGTTAGTAAATTTCATTTAATTTCCTTGAAAACATGTGATTTACGTTAATATCATCGGTTTTCAAAAATTATTACTTATAATTTTTTCGCCGCTCTCCGTTACCTTCTACAACTTTCTATATTAATTTTTTTTTCTGAAATTCTCCCCCTTTCCAACGATATATTATAAGGATGCCTTCTAACTTGTATTTTCGGAGATTCATTTTCGACCCGTATGTTTTTATTTTTTTCTCCTTTATTCGATTATCAAATTCTTTCAGAAGTTATATTCAGCATTTTTTTCGTAACGTTTAATAATGAGAGGTAGTTGATTATTTAAAATAGACCATATTAATGGTACTTTAGAGGAAGACGCATATGAACATTGGGCATTTAAGCCCTTTTAAGTGATATCAACGGGGATACTAATACGGGGAAGACCTAAATCATAGCAATGATCACTTAATTATACAATTGGGTCTTATAGAGACTTACAATTGCCTAACGGAGGTCTGTTTTGTCTTCCAAGGCATTTGCCATGTCTTGCTTCTTCACTCGGTCAAATGCCTTAGTGAGGTCTACAAAACAGGCATATATCTCTTTGTCCCTTTCTATTAATTTTTCAGAAATTTGTCTTAAGGTAAATATGAGATCCTGAGTACTTCTATCTGGCCTAAATCCATATTGTTCTTCACTCAGGGAGGATTCCACTGTTCTTCGTAGGTGTTTCTCTAAAATCTTTGAGTATATTTTACTCGGGACACTAAGAAGAGATATCCCCCGGTGGTTTTTACATTTTCTGTTATCCCCTTTCTTAAATATTGGGACTAAAACAGATACTTCCGAATCCTTTGTAATATTGAATACTTCTATACCCTTTTGGTTCATATACTTGATCATTTCAGGGGCAATCCTATCTATTCCTGCTGATCTTCCTGTTTTCAGAAATGTGTTTCAGCGTTGATATAAAGTAGCACATCCGGTTAGCCGATTTTAATGGAAAAGTTGCCAGGACATCTAAGGCATATATCTATCTTAAATATGTAATATCAGTTTCGAACGACTTTTCATTTTGAGCTAGAGTGTGTTCAAGAAACAAAGGGATATAGAAAATAGTGGAAGTTACATAATATTTAGATAAAATATTCAATAAGTGTATTCACATTATTTATAATTTTTATCTAAATATTATGCAACTTCCACTATTTTCTATATCCATTTGTATCTTGTCCTTTCTAGTCCTGAAGAACTACATGTTTAAGTTGGGTCAAACATTTAAACTCTTTATGACCACCACTCCAGACCATCCCATCTCCTTCCTCAGTAATAAATATAATGCCTTAAGTCCATCTTATTGTAGGAAACGAAAAGGGACATAACAAAAATGAAATTTCCGTCGGGCACACTCAGCCTCTACTAAGTGTCTTAAATAGCAGTACATATAATGCCTCAAGGCCTTCTAATTGCAGAAAACAAAACAGGGACATAAACAAAAACTAAATTTTTAGAGTGAATAGGATTTTTATGATGGCTACTTCAATCCCTTTTGAATCTATCAGGATGATTATTTCTGAAATAATCATGTCATTAATCCGGAAATAATTTATTTCAGAAGTAATGCTCAAGTTATTTCATGAAATAAATTATTACCGAAATAACTGGGGAAGGTTATTTAACGATATATTTAGTAAATATTATTTCAAATAAATTCTGCCCAGGTCTATTTGAGACTTCTGATCCATATTTTATTAATATGAGACCAAAACCTTAAATCAAACAAGTTCATACTAGCATTGATGACCAATTCTTACCTTCAAATGAATAATGACTTTGGTTATTATAAGACGAGTACTTACAGTTTCAATTTTATTATTGGATTCGAATTATAATTGTTGGTTTGCATGTAATACAATACCTATACTTTTGGAAACAAAAAAAAATCGCTTAAGAAAAACACGAAAATTATGAAAAATTTAAAAATATTTTAAACTACTGAATTTATTCCTATTTTTTTAATAACATCGAAAATCGAGGAGTGTTAGATGTCTATAAAATGTTAAATTAATATTCCAAGAGGCAAAGGTGAAGCCAATTTGGCATTTGTTTAATTGTGTCCTGAGTTCCAGTTGGGCAAACTTTGAGTTGCCTTCCTGAGATGACCATACCTGTCATTTTATTACATCGACTGCATAATTTACATAAATATAAAAAGCCCGTCTTAACCACTTCAGCAAATTTATTCAAGAAATCCTCATTTTATTTTTTTTTGCTATATTATGTAAATCATTTTTTCTTGCTTATATGTAAATCATTTGATTTTCTAACAATATCTGTGAAATAAATTAAATACGGAAACAGGCAAGGTCAACAAAACAGTCCATCTGTTTACATGGATTTTTTCTCCAGAAGAATCTTAATATTTTATCTTTGTCTTCCTGGGAATGTCTTCAGAGACAAAATAAATAATAAATTTTGACATAACGAAAATCATACAAAGACTAACAAATCACAGTTTTGAAAAAAAGAGAATAATTCTTAAAATTGTTTTGTGTCATTACCAATAAACATGTTAATTTAAGGCAACATTAAATAATCAAAGATAAATCAAATAATATAGACAATATAATGAGACAAATAGAAAAAAAAATGAACTGGCTTTTCAAGACCACCATTTAATTACACTATAAGGCTCTAATCTTTGACGAGATGTGAGCATATATGAGGATAAGTCAATAATTAAATTTTATTGCAATACAAATAAGAAACTTAAATTAACATTTTTCAATGGAGCCCCTTTCTTTACAAGGCATTTGGTCCATATTTACAAAAGCTTCAGAAAAGGTTTTCGGCAGAGAAACAGGCCAAAAATGCACTGTTTTTTTCAATTCTTCGTCCTAGGATGGCCCTTTAATGCCTCTATTAGTGGACTAAACAAATGGTAATCAGAATCTGCAAGATCAAAACTATACAGAGGGTGATCCATTGCTTCAAACTTGAGCTTTCGGAGCGTTTCAGTAGTTTGGGCAGCACTATGTGGACAGGCATCGTCATGTAACAACACAATATCTTTAGACAGTAGTCCTCAGCATTTGCTTTAAATTGAAGGCTTTAGCCTGTCAGTAAAAAATTGAATGATTGAATGTCTCTCTTGTTCACTGCAAACAGAAAGCAGATCAGTCATGGATAATGGAAAAGAAATGACAATGAAACAAACCTAGATACAAGCACATTAATAATCACAAAGAAACCTTGCATGCACCGCCTTCGTAAGCTGGCAGTGTTGGCAACAGAAACACTAATAAGACTGCATTGCGGATAATTATTGATTTATCCTCTTATCTAGAGATATGAAAGTACAAAAAATCTGAAATTTTTAAAATGAGTAGATACACTGCAGGTAATCCAATAAAGCACATAAGTAATGAAACAATAAATAAAAACTAATAGTGTTTTATGATCTGTACATTTATTTGAAAGAAAATACAGTCAATAGGTCGAACAAGATAACATAATTAGCTGGTAATTTATGTCTTATTACTAGAATTTACAACAAATGATACCATTAAAGTGGAAGGCACTTAATAAATAACATCACAATAAGAGTTACTGTAACAGATTTTGACATAACGAAAATCATACAATAATAGTCTGTATAAATTAATGGCACATATTCTTTTAGGTAAGTGGTGGAAAGAAGCAAACATTTTGAATGTTGAGGAAACTGTAGAAAATGTTAACTATAAACAATTAACACAAGCCATTTATGAAACAAAATCTCGATGTAGAACTTGTGACATTCAATAAATAAAATTATATATACTATAAAATTTGTAATATAATAGCTGTTAACACTAACTTCAATAACAAATGCTAATAATGCCATATGAAAAATCAATTTAAATGCTTTTTTTTTTAATAAGCAGGAGGAACTTTTAATATTTTTATTACATTCCATAAAATAAATTGATTTGAAAACAAGCTAATTCCAAAGTAATTTGTTCACTCTTTGGTTCATTAAAGCAAAAGAAAACCACCATAACAACTTTTTTTTATATAATGGGCATTAAAAGTATAAAAAAATATCCAGCTTTTACAAATACTATTCTGTGTAACATTAAATAGCTTGACGACTTTTCTTTACAATATTAAAAACATAAACTAATATTTTAAAAGAGAGGCTTTTTATAAAAATTATCCATTTTCAAAATTCTATCGATAGCACAGCTAGAGATGATGCCCTGCATCATAAAATGAAAATAAATAATTTTTCAATTAGGCCTGTTACAAGATTTATTTAAAGGATAAGACTAGGCTATCAAATAAAAACAGAAAAATTTAACAGGGCACAATAACTTACAGATTATTACAAAACAGTAACAATTTACTTATATTCTAAATAAAATACAAAAAACTTTAATATCATTTTTTCCTTATTATTCCGTGTAATATATCTAATATGTACATAAAAACCAAACAAGTCATGCAAATAATTAATGTCCTATATTGATTAAATGTTTTAGTCAGATTTTTAAAACAATTTTAGAAAAATACAATTTGAGCCTTAAAAATTTAAACAGAGTACGGAAAGAATAAAAATAAAATCATACAAAATTTCATTAGTTCTATTTTTTAAATAATAAGTAATTTTGGAAATTTGGTACATAAATACAAAAAATTATAAAAGCATTATTGGACTTATAAAATGTTTAATCCTTACTGCTAGGCATTATGTATGAGCAAGTGTGGGTGAGTATATAACATATACACACTCTCACACCCATACATATATTTTATTATGTACACTACAGTAAGTTTATTTGAGGAACAGTTTTTCACCATACATTTTTTGAGCTCAACTTTTTTACACTATCTTACCGACCTAAAGATGGTGGTTTACCACCGAAATTAAAAGATGTGGGGACAGTTTGATTAACGAAATTGTAACCTGAAAATAAAATGACAATATAAGTAATGTACATATTTGAAAATAAAATTTAAAAACTATAATGAATATACATGATATTAGATTTAACAAACTGACAGGAGAAAAATAACAATAAAAATGAAAGATTAGCCATAGAATTTATACTTAATTTCTCTGAAGCAGAAATATTGTAATAATACATTAAACACAAGAAGTAATGAATGCATAACAGAGAAGATAATTGCAAAATAATTTTTTTTTTATTATTGAAATTTACAACTGTATAAATGATAAATACAAGTAAATTTGAAACAAGTAACATGACATGTGCAACATGAAGAGAAACTATCCATTGGTAGCATTCCAATTATATTTCTATATTAGAAGGTCCTGATGACATAGGCCATCTTCTTTTCAGATGCCTAGGAGAGTTATCAGGGATAGAAGAGGAAGCAGGGTTGGAAACAAGAGGGTTCGGATGGTTCAGAAGTTTATTATGAAAGATTTTATTTGTGACAAATTAGGGAGCATTGAGGATTTTATGAAGGATTTTGGGTTGTAAGGATATTGGATACGAAAGGAATTTGATAGTTTAGTAGAGCCTCAAAGCTCGATCCCGTAAGCCCAAATAGGCCTTATTATAGTAATATATATATATTTTAGTCTTTTGTAAATAATTGGAAGTTTAGAGCATTTGTCTATTAAGTGCTGCAGTAGTCGAAAACGTCGGGCGGTTTCTAGATGTTTCAGTATGGTATTGGGGTTCCAAGTGAGTTATTTGTTCAGGTGGAGTCCTAGGTATCCGATTAGTTCAACGGGGATAAGTGGGCTATTGTTGAAGGATACTGTAGGACAGGAAGTCATGGGTTTAAGACGAAGAGTGAAGGTTATTTGATGGAATTTATTTTAATCCTCCAGTTTTGACACCATGCAAAATAAAAAATAAAAAGCTTGAGTAATAGAGGTATGCAATGGTTTTAAATCAATCATGAACAGAATCCACTATATAAACTGATCACTATGAAAGGATATTTAGCCATTATCATTAGAATCCTATCTTCAAGCGAATCGTGAAAAATCTATAAAATTATATGGATGGGAGAATGGCCCAGAAATAACTGACTTATCTAAACGTTGCATTATCATCTAGGGATTCTAAAATGAATAGAAACACAACACCGCCGCCTTTCACTAACAATCCTTACTCTTACTACAGTGCAAATGTCGATTGTATGTTATTGTCCAAGCAAAATATACAATAATAATTTGCCTGCAATAATATATATAATTGAAAAATAACCAATTTATAATGGAGCAGCCAACTCTACATGCTAAAATAAAACCAGTAACTTGTTCATTATACTTTCACCTGAAGCCAAATTAGGATCTATTTTTGGGGTATTTCCTGAGTTAGCGGATCATGAGTAATCACATTTTTTTGCATTAAGTATTACTAAAAAATCAGTTTATTAACTGATTTCAAAATTTTGTTATATACTTTTGATAAATTATAAATCATTATTTCTTATCTACAGTTTATGTAACAATAAATTAAAATACCTCCACTTTGGACTATTTTTCTGCTTTCTGCAGCTGCCTTCCTTTGGTCAGCAAGTACTAGAACTTCTCGCAAAGCATTTCGCTGTTCAGGAGTAAGGTGTGATGTCAAGGCACTGTACCACATTGGATCACTACTTTCGAGGGCTAAAAAGAATCAAATTAGAGTAAGATTAGTAAAATATAATACTAACTACAAAGCTTTTAATAGATTTTAAAATTGGTTCCTTTCAATTTAAAAACAAAATAAATACAAATCCTTTTATTCATGATTTAATGAACAAATATACACCGGGTATTATCAAACCTCTAAGGGTCTAATAAGGATATGATACAGACTGTGAGTCATCGATTTCAACCAAATTTTTTGTTGTTGTTACATGGAAAAATATTAAGACTCGTCTCCTGGCATTCTTTCAAATGGACCCTAAGAGCAGATTTTATGGACTGAAACATCACTCTATGATTCTTTTGTCATTATGGTCGCATCTAAAACTGAGATTTTCATTTCCTGTTTTTTAAGAAACTTCAACCGCTTTCTATAATTGTGTAACAGATTTGGAATAATATCCAGGCCCATTGCTGGTAAGATGTCATATTCTGAGGTGAAAGTACAACATCGATAAATTTGAAATTAACCGGAAATGTGGTTTTTACAAAGAGTGGCAATGGAATAATTAATTTCATAGATAAGAGATTTTACAAAAAGGTTCTAGGAGTACTATGGTATCATTATATTTCATAATTTTGCTTAAAAAAATCGAGTTATTATGCCCAGTCAATTGGTATAAAGATGGTCGTCATATCCATAATAATATTCAGTTTATTTATAAATCTGAATCTCCAGCTTCAAAAATAGGAGATTATTACAATAAAAGAAATAGCGTTATTAGAAACTAACACTAGAAAAACAACAAGAACTTACATTGAAGTACTTGCTTAAATATAACATATTCATCTATTTCAGATTCGTCTTCATCTAAAGGAGTAGTATAAGTTTCCAAAGACATATCCTCAGCGGGCTCATAATCTTCATCATCTTCATCTTCATCTTCACTACCAGTGTCCTAAATCAAAGAGATTTAAGAAAACAAAAAAAAAAAATTTTACAACTTAGGCTATAAAAATACAATAAGCACATGTATATGATCTAAAAGCTCAGAATGTGATAGTTGAGGTGTCACCATAGTAACAGTAATCTCATGTTACAATCCTATAAGATTTTTTTTTTTTTTTATAAATAATTCATAAGTAACAATATGTTTCAATCTTTTGAAGGAAAAAAAATATATACATATCAGTTACACAACTGGTGATATGAAATTTTTAAAAAATTAGATTATTCATTAAAACAGTATAAGAAAATAAAAAAAGTCACAAAGTCTAAACTGAACATACCTGCATAGAAGAAGTGATAGGAAACATAGGTTCTAGTGAGTTTACGCCTTTATTTACCTTTTGCTGAAGGCTCTCCAAGTACTGATTGCCATGTTCATCTATATCATCATCATCTGTAGAAAGTACTGCAACATGAAAGGTTACTAAAAAATAACTAAAACACAAATTTAATAGATTATAAGATGAAGAAACCTTATTGTACAACAATAAACCTGATACTTATATTATTTGTTAATCTAACTATCAATCTAACATTTATTGTACACAGATCCTTTTTTCTTTTTTTTTTTTTTTTTTTTTTTTAAATCCTTTAAAATCCCCTCTGACACCGGGACGCGAACTCGTGACTATTTTCATATCATAGAATCATATATCCGGTTGCCGGGCAACGGCGGTGCAGTGCACACGCGTTAGCCTATTCGGCCACCCCACCCTATCCATACTCTCTTACCAAACCATTTCTTTCCTCCAAATGCTCTTGCAGTTATCTTATTTTTATCTTCCATCCATGTCATGTCATTCTGGACTACCTCCCCTCTCCCTATAATCTGACTTACATTGGATAATTTTTTGGGGGCATTTGTTGTCTTCCATCCTCATGAAGAAGCCAAATCACTGAGATTTGGCTGCTTTTCTTTCTTTTCTGCTTGATATTTATTCTAATGGTAATATTACATATAGGCTGCAGCCTTGAGATTTTTAAGTTCCTTGAAAAATCTATCTCTAAGGCCTAAACAACTAAAGGGTGACCCTTTTAGTGCGTAAGCAACCTTATGTTACTGAAACAACAATCAACTTAAAAATTAATGTACACAATAGAAAGAATGTACAACAATTCAAAATAAAAACATTGAAGATTGTATATTCCACAAGATTTCATTGTTTGAAAAATTTTCTCCACTTTTACCTTGAGTTCTAGAAGCAGCTGATAACGGTATAAATTTCTTATTAGGATATTTATGTTTTAACAACGCCCCTGTATTTTTGATGTATCAGCTGATAGTAATATTGGTAATATCTCATTATAATAATTCTTCATCTAAGATCTATTTCCAGTACGAATCCTTTTGTAATAAGTAATGAAGAGGAGTGAGCATATCTTCCTTGTAAATCTGGGATAAAACTTAGTATTATATTTAAAGAATATTAATTTAAATAGGCCAGCATATAACCAGCATTGTATTTCATTTTAGGCAATGATTTCTTCATGAGAAGATTGAATTCATTCACTATTACTTTTTTTCCCAGCATTATTTATTTTATGGAGTTTTCAATCCCATAGAGTTCAATTCTTAAGAACTGTTTTAACTCCATGTTAATGGTGTCTAGTTTTTTCTCCTGGGACTAGATTATCTAAAACCACTTTACCCCCTTCCATGCCTTAATAATAAACCAGCTATAACTCTTTAAAATATCATGAAAATCGGATAAATGGTAGTCGGTGATAAACCTGCCACACCAATTTGACTACTAACAGACAGATATGAAATTAAATTTGTTTCTTGATGTCTAAAATATAGAATTCCAGTAGACATTATAAATTCTGAGCACACATTTTTTAGCCTCCTGCACAAATTCAGAGCTTCCCTACCTCCAGTATTGAGGAAGCAAAATAATTTTTATTGAATTTAAAACCAATATAAATATATAAAAAAGAAATTATTACCATCTTCATCACCACTTTCATCTTCTTCCTCTTCCTCTTCTTGATTTTCAAGAGCTTTTGCTGTGGGCATGAAATAAGTAATAAATACAGGATTATAAATAAACAATAGTTAATATTTTATACTTGTTAATAAATATAAGAAAATAAATAATCTACAATTAAAACCTATGCTTTATTTCCATACAAAGTCAGTGTTGATATTCTTTACACTCTACTACATCATTGTGTAATTCAAGAAGTTCCGAGAGAGTCAATTGACAATTTCCAAAGCCTTATCAATAGATTGAAAATTCTTGAACTACACGAATCCAAATTAATAGCCTTTCAAAATTTATTCATTTTATTTTCTCTCATATAATTTGATGTCATTATCTTAATATTGTTGAGATGCCTGTCCTCTTCATAATAGGACAAACATTATAAATAATGCAAATAAAATACTTTTAATTTAAATATTTATAGGCAATAAAAATGTACTGATTATATTCAAATTCTGGTTTTATATTTACATACCTAGTATATCTCTTGTAATATTCATTAAAATAAAAAAATTACCTGCATATGCTCGCTTCAGCCCATCAAAAACAAGAATCAAACAAGGGATAATTTGAGTAGCACATTCATTAACTGCCATTGGTCTGCTTGGTCCCATAGACATGAGAGTTGATAAGCCAAGAACGCATAGCTTTCTATCATGTAACCTAAAAATAAATTGCAAATAGAAGTATACATATATACAAACATGCCATAAAAAAAATACATTATTTGTAACATCTACATATAAATTCAACTAAAAATCAATGCATTAATTTTAATGCAATAATTAACCTCAAAAAGTTTAAGCCAGTGATTTGATAGAACGTTATTAATAGTAGTTCAATTAAAAATAGTTTCTAATACCTTAGGTTTTTTCCGAAGCATCTCTTTCCTTAATTTTTATAATTTAGTTTCTGTGATTTTTTAATAATAGTTTTGTTTATTATGTTGTTTAAATATTTTTCAAACCATTTTGATGTGTGTCCAAAATATGATTTATTTTTACATTTTATTTTATAAAAAATATTTGTTAATTAATTAGTTGGTACTTTATCTTTAGTTTTGGAATAAATTTTATCCGTTGGTTTGCTTGCAAATATAACTTCACTTACATCATATTGCTTAGATGTTCTTTCTATTACATCAGTTAAATTTCTAATATATATGTTACACTAAAATATTTTTAGAGTGTTGCCTGTTTTCATTATATTGTTCATTTATTTATATTTGCAAGCAAACCAATTAATACAAATTTATTCCAAAATTAAATATAAAAGTATCAACTGATAAATTAACTAATGTTATTTATAAAGGAAAATGTAAAAATTGAAACAATATATCATATTTTGGACAGCCATCACAATGGTTTGAAAAAATAGTTAAGCAACATAAACAAAACTGTAATTAAAAAATCACAAAAACTAAATTAGCTACTGAGCTTTCTCAGCATACTATGCAAATTAAACATGAAGTTGAATTGAAAAAATAAACATTTAAAATGAATTGATATTATTGAGTGAAATAGATCTACGTAAAATATAAAGAAACATCATGTATATATATTAAACAAAAATAATCTTCCTTGTTCCTGTAATATAAACTAGTAGCTCAGTAAAAATGAAACTGACAACATGTGAATTGACACATAATGTGGTAATTCAACATTATATAAATCTTTTAATATGAATAAATTTTATAATAATAAAGTGATATGATAGTTGAAAAAAGATATGAGTATGATACTGGCTATCATGAGAAGACGTATATAATTTAGATAAGAAATGTAATGGAGAAGTACATGATAGGTAATTATAAAATTTTATATTTCAAATTATGTGAGTTTTTTAAATATGTCAATGATTATACAAATAATTGTGCATGAAAAATTAACAAAACATTAGATATGACTGTAAAAATTGTTTTTAGACTTGAAAATGGCTCGACGAACTGAAATGTGGTAATAGGATTTGGAAGTGAAAACATTGATGTAATATTGGGTTACATGAAAAAATAATAACTGAAATTTTAAAAAAAGACTTTTGGGATACATAATTTAGTTGAATTGATATATGAATATAATGTATACAAATTAAGAAAGAAAGAGATACTTCAGAAAAAACAAAATAGTAGAAACTATTTTTAATTGGACTACTATTAATAATGTCCTACTTTACAAGACAACTTTTTATTATACTATTTAGAAACTATCAGTTCCCACTATTATTATTTTATTTTTTTAAGATTGCCATCCCTAGACCATCTCTTTCCTAACTGTAGTGTAGTCAACTACTGAGTATTCAATGTAGAAAAAATGTATGTGAAATATGCTTGAGACAAGGATAAAAAACTCCACTATTTTAATCTAATATACCATGCACATATTTTCTTAGACTGTATTATCAATTATTCCTACTAGTTTTTCATACATCTCAGAAAACTGATAATTCGGAATCAGTACCTCATAAGGAGTTACCTCCAATAAACCAACTTCTTAAATTTTCTAGTCACATCCTTCGGGTTTGGTGCCATTTTCTCATAATTTATCATATGTCTATTTTAGGCCAAAGGTCACCAAAAAAAAAACACAGTTTTTTATATCCTGTATGCTTTATTCAACGTTTCGGCTTCAGGAGCCATTTTTAAGAACCCGCAAAACATGCACTGCGCCATAAATTTTTTAAAATTTATCATTGTGATATGATTCGTCCTCAATTCATTCTTTTATTTCAAAGAATGTCGTTTTCCGTTTCTCTATTTGCAGACGGTATCAAGAAATTATTGTTCTTCAATAGGGCATTCATACATTTTATGGCGCGGTGCATGTTTTGCAGGTTCTTGAAAATGGCTCCTGAAGCCGAAACGTTGAATAAAGCATACAGGAGATAAAAAACTGTGTTTTTTTTTTTTGGTGACCTTTGGCCTAAAATAGACATATGACAACTTCTTAAAGTTTTTTACTTGCAACTAGCGCTTGATCGGACTTGACTGGAGACTAAGAAGCCATCAGTTTACAAAACTCAAAAGTGTATGGCATATTATCAAAGAAAGTAAATACTATTCAAGAGATACATGGTATACATCCCATCAAAATTTCAGCTGTCAGTTTTCTGGTTAAATAAACCAGTAAAATTTGTCACTTCACTTAAAAATTTCACAAAGAGTGGAAACATACAACTAATGATCTGAGTGAGTTTAGATGAGAATTAGCTAGAATTTAATATGGTTACCAGTTGTAAATCCTTTTGTTAAAATAATCTGTTGCTAACTCCTCGTCTATTATATCACTTGCTAATAAAAATAAAAAAATTCAATATAATAAAAATTAAATTTCTTTTTAAAAATGTTTGGATTTGACAACAATACAGTTGTTTGCATTAAGAATGACAATATGCAACAGTTAATTTTCTTAATTTAACTTAACTATATAAAACAAGTGCTATGATAAGCTAACAATTCTGATTTAAAGAAATCAATATTATTTAGGGCATTTATATTAAGAGCAATGATAATTTTAATTAAAATTCTAAAGAATACTAACCCTAAGAAACAATCAGCATCATGGATCCATTGTTTAATAAAATGTCCGCTGATAGATTCGGAACTTGAAATGGTGGGTTGGAGTTTTTCCATTGTCTCTATCCATAACTGTGGATTGTAATAAAGGGCAGCAATTACAACTTGTAGACACATAGCACGTAACTCAGAAGTTTTTACCTCATGTGTTAGCCTTTGCAACACTAGTTCCATTAAAGAGGGAATACACTAAAACATAAAAAAATATATATATATATTATATAGCATTACAACTTCATTAGAAACCAATTAGAACATAAAGTGCCATGCCAAAATCTATATTAGCTAACTGAATGACTTTCAACAGATAGCGCAAAAAGCTTTTCTTATTTCTAATCTTCAGGAAAGTATTAAAAAAGAAACACCAAAAACAAGAAATCTGAGTTGTTAAAGAATCAAAAGTTAAATGTTGAAAAGAAAAATTGTCACAGCAATCAGTACTAGACCTTTTTCATGGATCAGATCATAATTATCTACTGATGATAATGTGCTAACTTAGGGCTCATTTACACGGTGTCAGTTGCTGTTGCCAGTCACTGGTGCCAGTTGTTGGTATTCCAGTTGACTGGCGCATAACTTTTAAGGCTCATTTACACGGTGCCAGTCGCTGGCATTCCAGTTAATTGGCGCATAACCATTTACATATTGTAATAACTTACAATACTACCGTATTGAACAATCGTAGTATACGGGAATTGAGAATACTTTTTTATTCATTTAGATTGAAATAAGTCCAAAACAAATGGCTGTAAAGCAATACAAAGTTGTAAGATCCCTTTCCAGACTGTTAACTGAAGAACTCTTAGAAGAGTGTGAACAGGAGTTGCAAACAAAAAAAAAGAAAGTATGGGTAAGAAATTGGATGAATAAAAAACATATAGGGGCATCTAAAACTCTTTTCAGAGAGCTGAAAGAAAATGATTCCCAACAATTCAGGTCAATTATGAGGCTGGCTGTAGACCAATTTGAAGAGTTATTGGTTACGAGGCCACACATATCACGAAAGAACACTTTGATGCGAAAAGCTCTCCCGGCCAGACTAAAGCTAGAGATAACTTTAGCATTCCTAGCATTAGGAACAAATTTTCCATTATGTTATCAGTTATGTTCCGAGTTTCGAAATCTTCCATAACAAATGTAATTCCAGAAGTATGCGAAGCTATCTTCTTCATTTTAAATGATTACATCAAAGTAAGTATTACATTAAAGTTTATTAATTGATATTAAAATTAAGTATATCGACGGATCATTGCAGAAAATCATTAAGTGACATTTTATAACCTTAAATAATTAATAAATCTGAAAAAAATTTCTTAAAGTAATGAGAAAATTGTACGCATGTCGATATTCGGTATGCAACAGATTTTGTGTTGTTTTCACGTACTTACAGTGTATTTTTATCAATAAAGTCAAAATTCACAAAAACATACTTGAAAGACCTATATCAAGAATGAACTTATTTTTAGTCTTGAAGTTTTGCAATAAACCGACGGTTTTATTGCAAGTAATAATATTATTAGTATATGAAGAAAATTGAAATCTACATATATAGCTACAATAGATAAGTTTATTGAAGATAGATGACAGTAAAATAAATCACAAAAAATGTAAAAACAACTTTTTTTAAAATTTAATACATATGTTTTCTATTACAGTTCTTCTGTATATAATTTATTTTCAATGTACTGTAAATCATACTTTGACATTGCTGTTTGTACAATGTCTGTTTTTGAAACATTGTTGTTTGCACATTGCTCACTTGTTAATGTTTGTGTACTATGGGTTGATGGTACGTCCATGATTGAAGAACTGTAATACGTAGCATCAGTTGAAATGGGTGACGATGGTGTTATAGGTACTGAGTCGATGTTTTTCAAACGAAAATTCATGAGTGTATTTTGAATTTTTAAGTTGGCTCGTAATCGGTCACGTTTTGGCAGCTCACGCAGCTGAAGAGCAATATGTCTCGCTATTATATCACATTCATCCTCGTTACTTATAGAGGTTTGTTTATCTATTTTCTCGTTTAATTCCTTTAGCTCTCGGATGGCTTCACTTATTGCCTCATACGTTCTTTTTTTAGCTTTGCTTCTTGCCCATGTAGTCTGCGTTAAAGTTGATTTGTCACCTCCAGGAACAGTCACAGGTTGTACTGAACGTGAAGCTTGTATACTAATTCCATTTGAATTATCATCACAAAATTCTTGAATATTTGAATATATTGAAGTGTTTGGAACAACTTCCGCTTCAGGTGTCCTTTTAGTTCCAATTTCCTAGAAAAAAATTAAAGAAAGGAAACATTGAAAATTAAATTTTACCTATATTAGTTATTTATAGGTAATATAATTCAATGAAATTTTGCAGGTACCGAGTACAAAAGAGTGGGAGGACATTCAAATCGGATTTAATGACAGATGGAATTTTCCTGGATGCTGTGGTGCGATTGATGGCAAACATTCAGCAATTAAAGCACCCCTTAATGCAGGAAGTGGATATTATAAATATAAAAATATAAATAGCATTATTCTCCTAGCAATAGTGGACCACAATTACTGCTTTAGATACATTGATGTAGGAGCTTAAGGGAGAAATGCAGATGGCGGCATTTTTTAATGTTGTGATCTGTTTCCTTTAATATAAAGTCAATCGTTACTACCAAAGGGAGGAGTATCAGTGGAAGATGATGCCTTACCCTTAAAACTCTACCTCATGAAACAGTTTTCTAAACCTAAATTGAATAAAGAAGAAAGAATTTATAACTATAGAACCAGCAGGAGCACGAAGAGTCGCAGAAAATGGATTTGGTATATTAGCCAGTCGAGTCCGCATTTTTAACCAGCCTCTGACAGTGAAGGTTGATACAACATCAATTAGTAAAGCTGCATGCTCTATGAATAATTGCTTACGTTTAACATCAACATCCTCATATACACCACCCGGTAGTTATGATTATGAAGACACAGTAAACGCTACAGTTATACAAGGGCAGTAGAAATCGCAGATGTCATGGCTGCCAAGTATACAGTGTACACGCCAGTATAACAGATAAAAAAAATTGCCAAAGAAATAAGGCAAAGGTACAAGGAGTACTTCTCCGGAGAATGGTCCGTTTATTGGCAATACAAAATGATTTATATAACTGTCCAAATTAAAGGAATATAATTATTTTAATTGTGCATTAGATCATTACATTAGTTATATTTTAATAAACTACATTGATTTTATTGTTTATTTTGACGTTTCTAACCCTTTTTTTATCTTACACACATATATATGTATGTTTTTTTCTTTACAATTGATGTAAATATTTTAGTTAATCTATTGTTTGTTTTTTCTTCTCATTTTTCCAATATATTTTAGTCTTTCAGCTAGAAATAATTTTATTTTTCTGTGACGGCTGTTATTTTCAAGGGACATTGTCCCACAATGAACTTATTTTTCTATTTCTATTTCTATTGTCAGTTACCAATCAACCATTAAATTATATCAAGATTAAGTTTGAATTTTGCTTCATTTAGAATTTCTACTTATTTGTAGGGCTACTTGAAATTAGTGTTGTAAAAACAAGCCTCGAGCTCCGACTCGAGTCTTGAAGGTTTGTCTCTAGAGCCTTTAAACCTCGAACCTCTAAAAGTTTATCTCGACTTCTAACAAAAATTATTGTTAGACAAAATCGGGCTAGGTAAAAAAGTTTTTGATTATCAATATCAGAGTGCATTGAATTTTTTATGCTGATCTTCCTTGAGTTCTAGCCTTGATGAGTTTAATTAAAATGAAGACATAGTTAATATTTGCTATGCCGAATGGTAAACATCCGAGGAGTGGACCGAAGCGAAGGTGGGAAGATTGCATTAAAGTCGATCTGAAGGGACTGGGTTTGGACGAAGAACGATGGAGGGAGATGTATAATAAGCGATTGGTGGTGTTGGCATCGAACCTTCAGGTTCGCTAAGCCTTTTATTATTATTATTATTTATAGAGCTTAAATGGCTAATTTTAGTAACTAAAGTACTTTGAATTTTTTTATATGAAATAATTAACCATTTCACAATTAACTCTGATAAAAAATTGTTAAACATAAAATATGAAAGAAATTGATAATTAACAGAAGGAGAAATAAGAGATCGAGAAGAAGAATAGTTGTAATAGAGGGACCAAGGGTATGCGAGCGCGCCTATGAAGATTAGAATTGGCTTCTATACGTAACATGAGCTTAACATAATACAGAATACATATATATTATTTACATAAACATATGCAGTTTCCATAAATGCTATCATCTGTACTACTTAATATTTATTGTATTGATTACAGCAATATAAAAATATTTGAATTTTAATTAAAATTTGTGTATATACAAAATTATATACAAACAAAAATATCCAAAATGAAATATGAATAAATATATCAGTGGCCTTCTTTGTCAATGGCATTCTTATAGGACTAAAAATATGTCGTGGCACCTAATTATTTATTATAATCAAATAAATAATTGAAATATACATTTCTAAAAGGAAATAGCTAGTTTCAAACAAAATAGATATAATACATTTAACGGCTATGAAAAATATATGGTAAACAATTGTTTTAAATACTGTCTATAATTTTTACTTTCACTTCCTTTTGTCTGAGAATATTTATTTCTGCTAAGCGGGTGGTAAATGGAAGTTCTGTAATGCGCAGATTTTTTTATTACAATGATTTACCATACTATTGTCGATTGTTAAGAAAAATTATATGCAAAACAATAAATCATTTAGAACATACAAAACAAGATACAAAACAAATTTTATTTATTATAAGATTTTTGGTGAAAAATTTAAATCTTATAATAAATAAAATTAAAAAAAAATCACATGAGAAATTTTTCCAAACCAGCCATGATATGCATAATACAACAATAAATACAAAATTATTATTATTGATAAAAAATTCTAACCTGATCTATTTGTCCCTTACACTGAAGAATAATTACTTCCAACAGTTTTGCAGCATGGCATTCAGCATCTTCACCAGGCTCTCCAGTAAGGATCTAAAAGTTAAAAAAAAAATTAATACTTTTATTTTGCATGAAATATTTATACCATGAATAATAAATCAGAGGGTTCCAAGGACAACTGAATCCATTCATCCTAACAAAAAATATAATTATTTATTCTAAACAAATTTTATAATTGGTAATAGGTTGACTGTCGTGGATAATGAAGAGAAGAATAGTTGGGGTGTTCAGTCAAAAAGGAAGGCAAAAATAAATTATAATATTTATTTTTGCCTTCCTTTTTGACTGAACACCCCAACTATTCTTCTCTTCATTAAACAAATTTTAATGTGTTATTATATCCATGAACTAATGTAAACAATTTAACCAACCTATGAGCTAATTCCCTATATCTAAATATGGTTTAATTTATTTTCGCCTCCTCAATTCTAGCTATTTCTGGGATATGAATATTTCTGCAGCAGTGAGGGTTACGGTACTATTTCGCTGGTACAGCAGCAATCGCCAGCCACCCCATACTGTCAACCGTTAATGCTTGCCTATTTTGCTGAAATTTCACACCACTATGGCCAACTTAATCCTTTTGATTAAGCATCCTAATTTGAATTAAAAATATTAGTCTTAAATTTAATGGTTTTCATTTGTATTGGAAGGACAGAACTACATATGATGGCTTAGTTTTGATCATATTTGATTAATACACAACATTTTTTCTGGTAATTAAAGTTGAATAACAAGGTTAGGTCTCTACTATAATATATTAACAATTGTCTACTTATTAATGCCCACTTTCTACAAAATGATGGTTTCTGGTAATATTTTGAAAAGAAAATATCATAATAGAAATTTGACTAACTATTATTTGAAGAATTGAGGATGCATTTCTGATTTTAATTTATTTCTTATTATTAATAAAATCATTCCAGTAATAAATGTTATATACTTGAAATGAAACCACAGCAGAAAATGTTTTACCATTTTATTATTAGATAATCAGAAAATCAGAACTTTAATTTAAAAAGACAAATTGATTTTTCAATGTCTGGATTCAAGTATTAACATGAGATTAAATTTTTTAGATTAATTAATGTTTTTAATCTATAAGCAGATGCTATTCTTCTGCTTATTTCAGCCGAGATATCATTATTTTCGTTACATAAAACAATTATGATTTAAAAAAATACAAAATAAATTACAACTTTCAAAGTTATCATTCATACTTACAATTAATTACAAGATATTTATTAAAATAATTATTCAACATGGGTGATAAATATTCAGGACACAGTCAATATTAAGTTTTTATGATTGCGTATAAAGTTTAATAACTGCGTCCTGAATATTTATCACCCATGATATGTGACAGTCGACGACTAACTTCCTTCAATTATTCAATATTTAATCGAAAACTTTTCAATATGCAGCAGGCAACAGTAAAACTGTAGCCAAAGCAATGGCCAATAAAAGGTTATGTTAGATAAGCAGGCACAAGTGACGTCACGCAGACACATAGGTGTCCATGAGTACTACTACATTGGGTATCCTTGACATAATCTATAACCGCTATATAGCCATCACTTTTACTGTTTTGAGAGCAGTCAGAAAGGAGCAGTACAGATATGACATCATACCCATACTGCCGAGCAGTGCCAACAAAATAAGCTTCTTTTTATTCCACAAAAGCAGTGCTTAACTGCTAGTAGTCGGAGCAGTGGGCGAAATAGTACCTTAATGCGTATCTCATTGCCACTGACAAATGCACTTTGTTTCATTGTTCTTTATTAATATTATACCTGTTTAAGGAACTGTGTATTTTGGGAACAACAGAACAGAATAATCTTTGGTAAACTCCGGTGGCTATTAACCATGCTTGGCATTCTTTTCTCCTTCAAGCTCCTTCACATTTGTTGACTTTGTGGAGTCAATCTTTCCCATCGCTCTCTTTCACTTTTTTTCTTCCCCATGACTGCCCAAAGTTCCCAGCCATCACTCTAGGTCATTAGCTACCCGTCCGTTAAGATATCCATTATTATGGGTAATTCCTGGCAGTTGTATCTCTTGTTAGAGTATGTCAAAGTATGCTTCTTTTTCTGTAGCTGCTGCATTATCGTTTGGACCACAGATAATGAACAGCGTGAACGGCTGATTTTTACTGGAAAAATTCACTTTTAATAATCTTTCTTTTATGACTTTCCATTCCTTAAAGAGGGGTGCAAGCATATGGTGAAACAGACATCACACTGCTGGTGAAACAGGCATCTCCCCCTTTAGTGTGCTCTCGTAACCCGAACCCAGAGTAAAGTAATATGTTATCACCTATACTTTCCTCTACTTTTTCCTTCTTGTAAGTTTCAGTGATTCCTAATATATTTAAAGATGATGATGGCCTGAACTTCAGGTCGAAACGTCGGCAGATGTAAAAAATAAATATTATAATTTATTTTTGCCTTCCTTTTTTGACTGAGCACCCCAACTATTCTTCTCTTCATTATTCACGACAGTCAACCAATTACCAATTATGTTCCTAATATATTTATTTTGAGTTTATTGACTGTCTCAGTCAATTCTATTTCTTTCCCATTCAATCCTTTGATATTCCATGTTCAAAATTGTATTAACTGTTTTCTATGCCATGTGAAGTTTCTAATAATCTGATTGGCTCTATTGCTATTTATACTTTTCAGATGTGTTGCCCTGAAAATGAAAAACTCTGCTGCGCCCAGAGCCTGATGGTGGGGTTGCCTCCTCAAAGCTTTTTTTTTTTGTCGTTCCCTTCCTTGCCTTTTAGGCTACTCGTAATTATTTTGATCTAATTATCTTTGATCTAGGTTGCCAGGCAACTGGCGGTGCTATGGACATGCACTAGCCCACTCGGCCACCCTGTACCCAGGGGGGTCTCCTCAAAGCTGAAAGGCCAGCTTTCCTCTGCTTCAGAACTCAAGATGGTAATCTGTTGCTACTGACCTGAGATAGTGCTTATAATTGAAATGCACCCTCAGGCTGCCAAGGATCCCTTTCCCTCTTTTTACAACCGGGCTTAGGAAAAGAGAAATCTTTAACATTCTATATCCTGATTTATTTTAAATTTATTTACCAGGCTCAGTGTCGATCCATATCTGGGAAAACCGTGTGCTGTTGGCATATCTTCGAGGGTCAGGTTGGCTGAGCGAGCAAACGCGTTTGCAATATGTTGCCTAACAACTGAGATCCCCCACTCCAATATAATTCCAACATGTCTCTAAGTCAGTAATAAAAAAAAAAGGTGGTTAACAACAGGAAACCTAATTGGGAGTTTATTTAGTAAAGGCAGTCCCACTTGAAAATAGAATAATCGTTCAGAAAGGATTTCTATATATTTTATTTAGTTATTTTTATTTTATTTATTTACTAAAAGATATGAGGAAGACAGCTCTTTGGGAGACATCTGAAGAATGAGTCATTTGGAGAAAGCGGAAGGAATAGTGTGTAAGAGTAAATCAGTTGAAGTTGTTGGAAAGAGGAATATATCATATCTCCATTCTCATTCTTTCTCTTAATTCGTAGGTATAATATTACTTTCACTTACATATATATGGAATATATAGTAAGGGAAAGTATTGCGATCGTGAAAATTTTTGGATCTCAGTTTTCATTGGAAATACATGTTATAAGGTCCCCTGAGTCGAAATAACCATGTCTCCTATAATGTTCTGTGTGTTTGTGTGAACAGCCTACCTCAAAAACGAAAAGTCATTCGAAACTTAAATTGCGTATTTAAGGTTTGGTTTCAATGTGACAGCAACTTCTTCATTAAAATTTGCTAACCGGAAGTGCCACTTTATATCAACAGATATACATTTTCTCGATAACGGCTCTAACGATTTTGAATAAACTTGGTATATCAGTGTATTATTAATTTGTTTTTAATATCAGCTAGGTCTACATTGATGTCACTTTACAGGGCTTAAATGCCCAATGTTCATATACTTCTTCTTCTGAAGTACCTTCAATTTGGTTCATTTAAAAAAAAAAAAATAACTCTCTTATTAACAGCAACTACAAAAAATGGCTAAATATAACTTTTGAAAGAATTGGATAATTGAATGAAGGAGAAAAGAAAAATGCTAATCCAAGTCAAAAATGAATCTCTGGAAATAGTAAGCAGAAGGTATACATATAATATATCGGAAAGTGGAGAATTTTAGAAAAAATAAAGTTGTAGAAGGTAACGTAAAGTGACGTTAAAAATATAAATAATAATTTCAGAAAACTAACATTATTTACTGTAAATCACATGTTTCCAAGGAAATTAAATGGAATTTTCTTACTAAATGTAAACGTTTAAATTAGTTTTTAAGTTTGAAAAAAGTAATTAAAATCCACCGAATCATCAAGGCAATGACATTGTTTAAAATATTATTTCACTGTATTTGTGTGAAAGAAGAAGTAACCTTAAATACATTTACTGTAGTTTAATAACTCTAGATCTGATTATATAACTAGATATCTATCTTCCATTTATTCCAAAAAATCATGTAAGCTTTTAGAAAATTTAATTAGTGAATAATTATATGAATATTCCCTTTTTAATAACCCAACAGTAATAACATATTAGTGTGACAAATTTTGACCTATCTATAACAGGCAATGCAAATCTCGTTATTTCATTGTTACAACACTCCTCTTGTTAAGTCATGACGCCTTCAATAATCAGTGCTGCATTTTTAATCCAGCTTTACTTCTTCTTACTACTTTGGGTAATTGATCGTCCAAGTTCGATACAAAATATTGATTGAGTTTTTCAAAACAGGTGATACAAAAGAAGATAGTTTAGAGTGATAGAAAATTGCAGTTGAGTCCCTAACATAAAAAATGTGCAATTTTCACCTAGCAGCATAACAATTGTCTGGGCCCTCGCTGTTTATTATATATTGTATTATTTGTACTGGAGTTGCAACTCTTCAAGTATTTGTTAATTGACAAGCGTAATTTTATTTTTATTTTTTGTATTTTTCGTTTATAAAACTTAACTTTTCTTTTTTTATTTCTCATTTTTTTGTATAACGTTACTTTTCTTTTGCATTATTGTTAAATTTTATTACTTTTATATTTTTTCCCCAAAATTAAATTGTATATTTCTATTTATAATGGTGTATTTATTGAGTAAATCCACCAGAATCCCTTAAAACATTTTAGTAAACTTTGTAATGGAAAAATACAATTTAATAATTAATAGTCATACAATCCATAAGCAACCGTCCATATAATAAATAGAATTTCTGTAATTTCAATGGTATTAATGATTTGTTTACTGTAAGCTTTAAGCTTTAGTTCGGTTAAAAATGCACTTCAAAAATTTTATAAAAGCCCAACACATTGCCAGAAAATAATTTATATTCAAGTAGAGCGGTAACTGAAAGTTGTGTTGCACGCACCAGATTTTTCAAACTACATTAGATTTATACTTACTAGGATTATATAAATAAATAATGACTTGTTAGAAATGCTTAAATAAAAATAGAGCCAATTCATATTTTAAAATTTTATCTTAATTCATTAACCTATATATAACCATCTAGGTAACTTTAGTAAATAGGTAAATATAATACTGTTGAAAAAACTTCTAATGTCAAATATATTGCCATGGCATTGATATCTAGCTGTTTTTTAAACCATCTTAAATATATATTACATTTGTGAATAAATTGGTTTCCTGCTGCATCAATAGATCATATTTTGTTTCTTTATTCCCTACCCGCCTTAAAGATGCAAATAGCCAGAACTCAGCAGAACTACAGTTTACCGTTTCAAAAAGTATAGAGAGGACTATAGTTATTAAAAAAAACATAAATAGATTAGGATGTCAGCAAAAAATAAAATAATATTAATAACATGTTCAAGAGATGGTCATCCTTGGACGACTTATAATTAAATGAATATCTGTATTGGATAATCTAATAGCTTATTAAAATTGATATTCCCTGGCACGTAAGTTTGTAAGAGCAAAAAATAAAGTAGAAGTTGTACCATTTTACACATGTTGTACATAGCAAGAACATGATTTTGGTTAGATAGGAACGCCTGAGTATCAACCGTAACGTAGTTGTGAAGAGCAGGCATCATATCAGTAAAATAATCAAATCCATCTTTTTCGAACACCTGAAATGAAGAAACAAAGTTAATAGTGTCAAAAATAATTTTTTTTTGTTGTTAGTTTTCTCAATATTTCGTGATTTTTCTTACCTGATACATTAATTCAAAAACTTTCCACATATCCTGGGAAATATGTTTTGTTGTCAAATCATAAACTAATGAGAGAGCTTCTTCATAAAATTCTGTAAAAATATAATAAAAAGGGACCATAAAAACATATTTGAACTAAGGAACGTAGGTAAGATTGCCTTATAAATAAAATAATTTATAATATAAAGTTGTCTCCATTAGTACTCAATTACAATTGCTAACTAATCATATTAATATACTTTTTAGTAATATAAAGTTAATTAAATTAAATCTCAAAATGATTTTTTTTTTACCTATTATTACACATTTACTACTATCTTTCTCTAGTAATACTCCTATAATAAAAAAAAAAAGAAGAACTTACAAGATTCAAAAACAGATAAATGATTAATTTCAATCAAAATATAATTAGCAATAAGTTAATTGGAATAAATCATTGGTTCATTGCAAAAAATCACTGCATAAGTACACTTTTGGTTGATTTTTACCCAACGGTAAATAGTTGTTAATTTCATTCATATTTATCGATAAAATAAATCATGAAGTGCTTAAAAATAATACAAATCATTCTATAAGTAAAAAATAGTTTCACTAAGTGCATGATGTTCTGATTTTACAGAGCAAAAAGTCACTATATGGTACTACTCACTAATGGTACTCTTTTCACTGAATCAATTGATCAGATGGTTAATAAAACCAACCAAGTAATGTAAATCTAACCCATATTCTACGTACTTGCAAGATTATAACATAAGTGTTTTGTTTAACTATGATAGTGGAAAAAAGTCACTAAATATGTCGCGGTTTCAAGTTTTTCATCGTTGTTATTATTTTAAGTATTTCAATTATTTGTCGAAAGTAGAATACAAATTTAGAATTGCAAAGAACAAAAAATAAATAATCAAATTGCTATTTTACTATGGTTTTAATGATGAATCTGAAACTTCAAATTCGATTATCTCAAATTCGTTGAAATGTTAGTTAATGAATTTTTGCAATAAACCGACGAAATATCCTCTAAGCAGTTATAGAATGATAAAGGAACATAACAAAAGCTTCAGAACAACATACCCATAACTCCTTGGGTAAAAATGTGACCTATCACCTGCAGTACAGTTGGCTGTAAAGACGCTAATATGTCGGGATGCTCTTCCATCACAGAAATTAAATTTTCAATTGTGTTCAGAAGGCCCATTGCTGTAATTGCTTTTTCATCAGTCCCTTCATCACCTTCTAATACTAAACTGAACGTTGTAGCCTAAAAATTAGAAAAAAAAAATTAAATGTTATTTTACTAATGATATAAGAGATCAAATGCTATAATGAAATAAATGAAAATAATATTAAGATAGAATTAAATTAATTAATACATAATTTTTTTTTTCAATTACCATCCAAATACTGTAAGAGAAAAAGAGATAAGACATGTAATTTAAAAATGTTGGATTATGAAATAATAATTGTAGATTCTTAACTACAATGACCATTAATCATCTTGATCCAATGGATCCAACCTGTTCTTTATTAGAAGATAGAATGGTAAGGTAATTCAATTAATCCTTTAAGTAAATAAATTTTCTGGGTTTGAGTATATAAATATTTTTAAGTGTGATTATTATAACAGTTATTTCACTAGAATCTTTGCTTCGTTAAATAACAGAGGAATAATATTCAAATAATGGACACGATATTAAGCATAAAACAAGTTAAGAATTTGGCCATGTTATATTAAAATTGATTGATAACAATACCAAAATCCATCAAACATTTTTATTAGCAGAATGTTTTCATTAAGGTAACTAAAATAGATTAAATAACTCACCAAATGTTGACATATTTCAGATGCAATTGGTTTTATTTGTTCTGGATATGTGCACACAAATTTTTGAGTAACAGAGGTCAATTCTTCATTTTCTGTTTGTCTGATTATATTTAGGAGCTCCATTAGAATAGGTTTCACCTTTAAGAAAAAAAAAGAGAAAGAAAGATTAAGAGGTAAGAATAAATGGCTGTGTTCTTGGTACCTGGAAATAATAAAAATATAAATTTTCCTACTTGAGGTTCTAGCAAAGGCATAACTTTGTCTTCTTGGTCGCTAAGAAGAACCTGCAAAGCTATAGCTGCTTCTACTTTGACAGGGAGCTCTGCATCTGTGAGTAGAGCATTGGTAGTCAGTCTTAATGCATTAACGAGATTCTCTTCTGACTTAAACTTCATATCGTTAAAATAATGAAGAACCCAACAAGCCTGCAAAGAACATAATAGATATATTAATTCTTTATTTCATATATGTAAGTATTTAGTGAACTAAATTCCTTGCATATGTTCCATAGAATCGCATAGGAATCATAACAAAGGGAAACACTAAAAGATAAACAATATCACATCTATCTATCAATTTCACAACAAAGTTAAAGCTAAAAAATAAATATTTGTCATAAGACCACATAAATCGTAGATTTAGGATCAGAGGAGATACATAGTTCCCGATCTAAATCGAAAAAAAATTGAACATGTTGGGTTATGTGCATATAAACTACGACTTGTGGATAACATTGGTTTTCTGTTACCATTTAATATTAGGCAGCATGCTCTTCATAAATCAGTGCTTTAAGTGGTATGAAAAATTCCAAAGTGGCGATTTCAAAGTGAGACATGAAGATGTGGAATGTGAGTATGATCTATTATCAGCTATTAAAACCTGGTGAAACCGTTAATACTGAACACTATCGACAGCAGTGATTTTTCTTTGATTGAGATGTTGAGCTAGGAGTTATTAGCACAAGCAACTTAACTCACGGGGCTTGGCTCCATCCTAATATTATTTATTACATGCAGTTGCTTAGTAGTGATTCACTTTTTGTGAAAATGGCTTGATAACTGTTTCGTCACAAAATGGGTTCAGTTTTTCTGGCATGGCATTCATAAATTGGCAGAGATGTGGAATACGTATAGTTAGCGATGGGTAATATTTCAAATAAAATATTTATTTATATTTTTATGTAATAAATATGAGTGCATGTATTTTCTATTCAAAAATTGTGGTTTTATATTTATATATCTGATACGTAAACAAACTTATACTCATAACTTTACATGTCCCTTTTAACCATTGCAATACTATCACGAAAATTATACTTACCAGGTGAGCAATTTACTTGTATAGCCATTTAAATTTTCCAGTTTTCTTTATCAGAGAACTCTTAACTCTTTATCTCTTGATCCAAAACTTTTGCTACTGCTAAATAACAAGCATTATCTGCCTGATTATTCGTTGAACTTTGTTTTTATTTTTAACATACTGGTGCTTATTCATCCCTCTTTCTCAGCCTGCTGATGTTCCTTACAGTAGTATCCTCGGTCCCATCCTATATATGGTTCATACAGCTGACATTCCAACACCATCATTAACACATATGCTATGATACATGTGATATTATCAATTAATAATGACACATTTATTGCTTCTCAAACTCTTCAGCCACAAACCACAAAACTTGAAGAATGGAGAATTACAATAAATCCCCTCTACTCTTGTAAACTTCGTACACCCTACAGTATTCTTAAATAATAATCCACATATCACTGTTGAAGAGATCAGGTAACATGGACTCTAAAAGGACAAATATCTTATTTGAAATCCATATACAAGACTTAAACGACAAGAAACTGGTAGATGTTTCTGATTATTTCAGCACTTATTAGACAAATGCTCTAAACTTCCAATTAACTATAAAAGAATCATTTACTTGAATATAATAAGGCCTATCTGGACTTACAATGTTGAATTTTGGGACTTTACTGTAGTGTTCCTCAGGGTTCCTCTATAACTCCTACTGTTTGCTATTTACATTAATGACCTTCCCCTCCTGATCCATCACTTCCAATACATCTATGCAGACAATTTCCAAATTATTACCTGTCCTTTCCCCCTCCCCCACCAATATATTATCGGCCCCAGAAAAACTTCAAGAAGACTTGGATAGGATTTGTGACTGGGTGAGAACTAACAAGTTGAAGTTGAATGCGGAAAAGAAGAACACAATCTTAATAGATTCTGATCACCTCCTTAAAACTGTTCCTAATATTCCAAATCTGTTTCTACATGATAATCCCATCAAATTTTTAACCCACCATCAAAAACCTTGAAATAATTTTTGATGAAACGCTTTCCTGGCAAAACCATGCATTCAATATTTCCTGCTGTACCATTTCCACCCTAAAACTTCTAAATTATTCCAGTCACCTATTTCCCTAGTCACTTCCTTAATTTTTCCCCACTTTGACTATTTCTGTACGGTATATGGGGGAGTCTCTGGGAATCTCGAGGCAAAACTAAAACGTTTGATAAATTGCTTTGTATGATTCATCTTCGGTTTCCCATTTTTTTGCATAGTTGAAGTTGCTTTATCCTTCCTACTGGCGTAAGTATTTCCTGGTATCCTTCCTCTTTCATGTCATCCTTTTCCACCACCCTTCATACATCTCCGAGCTCCTTCAATTTAAATCCTCTGTTCGTTCCCCAAATATTCGTTCCCAGTCTTCTGATTTATACATAAGGGCCCACTGAACCGCTGCTTTCGACAGATCGTTCATTATCCGATCCTCATCCCTATGGAACTACATCCCTTCCTACATCCGTCAATCCAATACCCTTCCTACCTTTAAATCCCACCTGCTCAATCATTTCTTATCCATCCAGTCCCCATAAAATTGTAAATAGATACTAGTGTAAATATGTATGTAAATTATTAGTTCGTTCTTCATTATTTTTACTTAATTTTTTTTTTATTACTACAGGGTGGCTACCAAATTGTCAGAGTAAAATTCCCTGACTTTTCCCTATTTAATAAAGTTTTCCCTGACCAATATGTCGGGAGATACAAATGTTAAAAATGTATAGTTTATAACTAATTAGTTTATAACTATAACTTAATATATAATTTATAACTATTTAATTTATCATAAATGATTGAAAATTGAAAGATTAAAGTAAAAAGAAAGTCTGTTCACACTTTGAAAAAACAAATATAATGTTCTAGAGGAAGCATTTTTTAAACTTGATTAGGATTTTTTTGTTTTTTTAGTTTAGAAAACTAAACTTTTAAGTAATTTATTTTTATCGCCTACTTACTAATACTTTAAGCATTTTATTTTTATAAAGTGAGAGTACGTAAAAGTTGAGATTTGATGCTTTTATCTATTATAAAATAAACTGAGCTACGGGTGATTCTTATTTTAATGTAGATCCACATAGGCAATTTATTCTTTTTATTGCCACAAAAAGAACAATAATTATCCATACAATACCAACTGTGAGGCAAGATGGCCGAGTAGTCCAGTCAATTTAATTAAAGCTAATAAAATTTTCAATATGATGAATTATATATCATTTTTCCTTATCTCGCTTAGTTTCCGAATTATCCGTCCCTAAATATCGCTAATGTGGGAAAAACAATTTTACCTCATGTTTTTTACTGTATTTGACTAGCTAACAAACTATTGGCTGCTTCGTTCTACAATTAAGTCACGGAAGTTTACAGGAACGAAAGTTTTTTATTTAAATTTAAATTTTGGTAAAAAATATATATGATTTTACTAGTTTATCTTCAATGGTTCAAAAGTTAGATTAACTATAACTTTATACGTCAATTCTGAGAATTTGCAGAAACAAATTATTTTTATAATATACCTTATTGTATCTATATATATATATATATAGGTACGTAGATATATACATATATATACGTGTATTACCTTACCTCTTCACTAATCCAAACTATGTCCCAAAGTCAAAAATTGAGTCCCCCTTTTTTGTGTATTCATTGATTGGACGTGTGAGAGGGCTAAACCTGTGTAAAACACACGTTTCTCGGCAACCTTATAAACTCAAGTTTACATGAGTTCGCGTCCAGGTACCGGTGGAGTTTTAAAATCCCCACCTTCCACCCAGGAAAAGCTTCGTATAGCCTCAATGGCGTTGAAGGGGTGGACCCAAATAAAAAAATTTAAAAACTGAGACGTTTCAGGTTTATACATGCTCTTATAATAGTCCGGGAGCCCGAGGCAAAAAAGGTGTCGTATTTCATACTAAGCTTTGATCTTATAAAGTGATCACATCAACAGGCCTGATGAGAAAAAGTTTTTCTGTAAAGTTTCGAAGTTTAATCATTAAATGAAAATTGCTTTATCCTTTAAATGGATGAAGATAAGATAGTAAAATAATATATATTCTTAACAAAATTTTCTTCCTCATGACATTTTCAAAAAATGAAAAGATTAAGAGTTGGCGAGCCAAATAATGATAAAAATGCGTTGAAAAAAATTTTTTTTGTTTGAAATAAGTGAATTACGAGGACGAATATCACGAAAAACAGAGAATTTAGAGAATAAACTAATATAACTATTTCTATTGAAAATTTTGTCAGCTTTAATTTCACATATCATACTATTATATATATAACGCATAGTTTCACAGATATAAGCGAAAACCCGAAAAAAAAGTAAACTTTTTGAATCGTAAATTAAATTTTTCGACTTTAAATCTACGAGTATGGGGTAATTGACTATTATTTCAGGTCTTAAGACTGTAAATAATATAAATTGAAAGTGTTAGTAGCTTTATTTATCTATAAGCTCTCTCTCTATATATATACTCGCTTGCAACCTATGTAATGTTTCTTCTATCATCAGATAGTCGCCATTTTGTATTTCAGCGGCTAGGTTGGCAGACACGCATTTTTCTCATTAGGCCTGTGTACATGGTTAATTTATAAGGAAAAACCTTAGTATGCAATATGACACCTTTTTTGTCTCCAGGACTATATGGAGCATTACGGGTCGGACAAACCAGTGCTTGCCAGCCAATGAATTGCTACGACCGTTGCCACATGCTTTAAATAAAAATATAATTTAAATAATATAAAGGTATCTATCATTCGCCAATATTAATAGTTTAAAATCGGAAGGCAACTCAACCGTTCCTGAACTATCTGTAAAATCAAATTTTTAAACAATAATAATCGACAATTAGATATCTCTAAACTAAATTTCTGGTTGCTGCAGAGTTAAAAAATGAATATAAAAAAAAACTTCCATAACGACGCCATTGGTATTATAGCCTACATTGGACTTATAACTTCTCGAGACATTTGCCGTCTAGACCGAGATCATGGTTTTTCAATTATATTTTTAGTATTAATAATTAATGTGTGAAATAAAGATATTAATTAATAATGATTTGGTGTTTCAATTTATTTATCTCTCGATAAATTAATGGGAGAATGTAAAAAACTATTTATTAAAATAAGATTTTTACTAAGTTGGAATAGCGATGTGGTTTTATAGTTTATAACAATATTGAAGGACTTATAATAATCAAGGCTGCAGCTACCATTCAAATTTCTTCGGATAATAATATCATATATAACGGTTATAACGATGTATCAGCTTTACCGACGAAAACGCCATGTTCGATGATTCAGATGGTTTTTATGTCATTTTGAATGGATATAGCGATTGGATTGACAGTTGAACTCCTAAAACTGACAGAACACCTAAAAATCTTCGTGTTATATCTCACTTATCGAGGAAATATTTTATTTCAATCGTTCTTTATGTAAGAATCACATTTATAGGGCCCATTTCATTACCACTCTTAGTCTTAAATTCATATTTCTGTTTAATAGTTTAATAAGAATAACGAAGAGCAAAATGTTCTAGATATAGGAAAAATTCTATATATGTAGCCGACTGGAAACTGGAGAGTCAAATAATATCTTGAATCAAGAATTCAAAATAAATCTAAAAATATGAATAAATCGTGAATCATATCCAAAAAACGACTACTCATGACAAAATCGGTTCTTCTCAATTTTCCGCTATTAGACAAGGAGCTACCAACAATTTTATTTAACGCAAGAACTTAGCTTATAACCATTTTAAATTCTAGATAAACCTCATCTGAACACACTACTTCGTTTATTCAGTTGAAAGCCGTTTCTTTCTATACGAAAATTTAAATTAACAAGGCGAAATTTGACGCTTCATTTAACGGAAGAACTGACTGCTGAAATTTTGATATGACGTAAAGAATATGTTCCTAAAAGATAATTCACATTGACTGATGACGTCAAAATTATCATATAATATATTAGGGCAGTCGGATGGTAGTTAGTTGAAGAAAAAATCCAAATAGTCAGTTTCTCTTCGGTTTTTTTGAGATACTGAATCTGAATTTGACGTTCCCGAACGATATGTTCCATTGCGTATCGAGATATAAGCAAAAACATCGAAATTTCCGAATTTTTTTTAGTTTTTTGGACATGACTCCGAAACTGTGAATTTTATCGAAATTATTATTACATACAACGTTAAAGAAGATAAAATTTATTATCAATTTTATGCATAGCTTTTTGATGTAGGGCTAACGGGTGAGCAGTAAGAGAATATTGACTGTTTGTATTTTTCACAAGAAAAATCTATTTTTGTCAGTTTCCCCCCAAAACTCATAATCTATGCATGTACCGAAGAAATGCAATATAATAAATTTAAAAAAAAAATTAAATTTCGTATGTGCCTCATAAAGACACGTTAATATGTAAGAAGATTAAACAGCTGTTAAAGCTCAGAGAATAGAAGGCGTAATTCTCTTGTAGTAGCTGCCGCTCTAAAACTAAGTACTTTTTATCTTTTCAACGCTTTATTTTGGGCTAATTTAACTATTTTAAAACAAAACTAGAATGTATAAACAAATTACATAGTTTTTATATATTCTATTGGTATGAGAGACTTCAATATGCATAAGAATCATCACAATGTTAAGGACCAAAATGCGTTTTAAAGTCCGAGCGGTCCAATTACGCTCATTTGCATATTACGACTCTACATAAGCACGAATTATGTGAAGCGACCAACGTTCTCCTTCAGTTAACCAACGAATAGATGTATACTTACAGATAGTGAATACTATTGTTATATTTTTCTTTTTTAAAAGGCACTGTTTAACTCCATTTTGCTTACATTTTATTCATTACCCTGGTTTAATTCCAATATAACGGCCAGGGCGGTTATTGACAGTGACAAGTAGATAGATATAGGTTATATAACGATATAAATATAAATATCGTCAGGTCATCTGTAACAATTATAGATTATATCAACGAAATTTACAGGTCTCTTAAGGTCATTATAAACGACATCCATTGTATATTAATTCCAATTTAAAAAGAATATTTTCGACCTAACAAAAATCCCTGACTTTTCCAGGTTTTCCCTGTTTTCCAGGTCGGTCGCCACCCTGTACTAATTGATTAAAATTAGAAAGTAACTAATAACTTTTTTTATTTTTTTACTATGATTATTTAATTACTCTGTATTATTGTCTATGTATCTCTAAGGCTCCTTAGCCTACATTTCTGTCATTCTGTATTCTTCTAATGGGACTTGTTCCAGAATAAATTAAGTATTATTAATATAGAACCATAATCTGAGTTGGATAGTTTCTCTAAAACTCTGTCCATGTGATTACATCAATTCACATTTACTTATTTTAACTTTACTTAGTACAGTTGTAAATTTCAATCAATAGATTTTTTTAAATATTTATAACAATGTAAAGTATTTTAAATACTTGAATTTGTTTTTCATTCCATAACACAGGCAGTCCTGTTTCGCATTTATAAAGGACAGTAGAAAGTACAATAGTTTTGCAGGAATTAGTTGAGGGGATTATGGTTACAGATGAAACCATACACAAATAACAACCTTTATTTTATTGTGTCTCGACGTTTCATTTGAAGTTTTAGGTCTTCATTATCATGAATCTCCCTGTTTTAAACCCGAATAGGCTTCTGACTTTTTGAAACTTAAATTACTAATTTGAACTTTTTTAAATGTTCTGACATCCCCATTTTAACTAGATTAATTAACTTCTTTTATATTCCCTGCTAAACCAAAATTCTTAATAACTTTTGAAATTAAATAGGATCATATGCATTTTTGAAATGTAGAATTCTGAGGCAAATTAACAATACATAAACATATATTAAAATTCTTCTTATTTACCCTAGCTCTCATGTGCCCATGAGGACTTTGGAATTCAGGAAAAACATACTGAACCATCATTTGTTCCATTTGTTCTTTATACTGCTTCTTTTTGAAAAGAACTTCAGCGAGGGTACCAACCTGTTAAAACACAAAAAAACTTATATTCAACTGTTAAGTAATGTTAATAACAGTAAATAAATATTTGAAATATACCATATGAAGAGCACCATCTCTCTGTCTTGGTTCACCACTAGATGTAAGAACTTGCAATACAAGATGCATGGTCCTTTGGAGCATATCTTTTCTCTTCTTACAGGATGATTGCAGAACTCTAGCAGCAGCACTGATAGGTGATACAAAGTCTTCAAATATATCTGCATTTCAACAACAATCATTATTGCAAATATATAATATATATTAAATTTTTATATTTAAGAAACCCTCACTTCATTGATAAGCCATCTAATTTTTATATTTCAGGATAAATAAATTTATCAAACTGATAACTATCTATGTGATAAGAATGAATATCCTAATAACTTAGATCTGAAAGGGTTTTTTATAGGAATTAATTTAACAATTCATACATAATTGTTAGTTAATCTAACAAAAATTTTAGTTCAGTGCATTGTATAAAAAAAGGTTTTTTCTATCTCAAAACTTCTATAAAGACAAATAATTATACTAAAGCTTCACTGCACTTAATTCCAAAATAAGACAATACACATCCACCAACAAAAAAAGTTTGGAGACAACTTTAGTAACATCAGAAGATACCAACAGAACATAACATTTAGGGAGGGCTAGATGTAGTTCAAGTTCTGTGTAGATTTTATTCAAATAATGTCTATTATTTTTGGTTCAATTTATGAATTTCAGTTCTTCTTTTATTCATAATTAAAACAAGAAATGAAAGTATGTGTATCTTCCTTATTGAAGTAACTTCTGAAAATTTTTTTGTTAGAGCAAATAAAATTATTTCTGTCTGATCTATATTGACAGTGGGAACACTCTCCAGTATGGTACAACCATCCATTCTAAATAGAACTGGATACCTCACTGAGGGCAATGGCGAGATCAGTAAACGAAATACCTGGCTTTCCAATTTTGCATGGACAGGATAGCACTCTGCGCTACTTAGTCTCCATAGTTTCCCTACTCTACAGTTTTGAACTCATAATTTTCCTTTGATGATAAAATATTTTATATGGGTTAATATGTTATTTGGTTTAAACAATAGGATACCTTTAAATAATTCAAGGGATAAAAGATTTTTTTTTTTTCATGATATAATATTATAATTGTTCGACTTAATTATATGAGAATACTTAATCAATTTACTTTAAATAAGATAATATATTTTAAAATTTAAAGCAATTAATTCAAAACTATTTTTCATAAAAATATATTTTATTAGCTGGATATTAAGTACATGTATATTTCCCGCATATGTATTCTATTTAATATTGAGTTATTTCCGTAGTATAAGTTATAAATTTTCTAAAAAATAAAACTCGGGAATCACATGGATTTTAATAAGAAACGAATTTGAATTAAATTCATGGAACGAAAAAAGAATTAAATTGAGTAAATATAATTATGGATAAAAATAGAATAAAGTGATTTTATTTAGAAATGTTGTTATAGATAATAAGCTTTGTAAAATTGAGTTTATGTCTGTATAACTATATTGTTAATAATTAATAAACAATAATGAAATCTTGTCTGTTGCTGTAAAATTAATAAAATGTTAATTAATTAATCAAAATCATATTGTTAAAACCAAATTACATAGAAATCCTTAAAAAATATTTAATTATCAGTGAAAAATTAAGAGCTTAAAACAATAAAGAGAATAGGAATAAGGAATACTCAATACAAGTGAAGCATACTATCTTCTGTCCTATACTATCTAAGCATACTATCTAATTATTTAAATAATGAATTTAAATATCTTACCAAATTTAATTCTGATATATTCTCTTGGATCAGAGGCCCACATCTCTTCATCTGCCTGAGAGTAAGACATTAGAGGAAAAATAACATCTTGTATGATAGCAAACATATGTCCCTTTAAAAACTTCCAACAGTGTCCATGGTTTACACTAAAAAAAAAGAAGTTTTAAATAAATGTAAGCTGCAGTTCCACAACTACTCTGGTTGTTTTGGATGGATTTCAGCAAACGAAGGGTTTGTTTGCTAACAATAGTAGTTACCATTACCTGATTATCGACTTTACAGTATTCATAAAAAGTACTATTGTTACAAGAGTTTTAACTGCCCTAAATAATGTCAAATACTCATATTTGTAGTCGAATGAACTCAGGAAACATTCATAAAATCGAAGTTTCAATCCTTAAAAACCCACTAACTTTGTGAAACGAGAAAGCTATTTTACCAAGCCAGAACAGAACCTGGGAAATAGAACAGTGTGGAAAGTAGTCTCTTCTCAATAGGCTACTTTATTATTTTGGAATATAAGTTACGGAAGGGAAATAAACATTATTTATATGATAGTGTTTTCTTTTTTAAATATAACTTTTAATATTATAGTCCATTCTATGAAATCTTGATGTTTTCTTTCTATGTTAAATTAGTATTGATTTAAACTCAATTAAATGCTTTTTAATATTAACTCACTTATCATTTGTATCCAAACTGATTATATAATGTAGCCTATCTGTTAGAGCACAATCCAATTTATAAATTGATTTTAATTTAGGTTAGAATGTTATGATCTTCCAGGTATGTCTATCGATGTTCACAAACATTACGAGTAAAATTTGTACACAAGACTCTGAATGTTTAAGAGTTAAGCTTACTCAGCAAAGTGTAGGCTGGCTTATTACTTTCACTTACCTATAAATTTTTTTTTTCTGTCCTCCCCTTATTAGCCTTTTAGGCTATACGGGATTTTCCCTGGACCAGGGGGAGAGGGCGGGGAATTAATACCAGAGCTTAAAAGCTCACTCTAGCACTGGGACAAACTCATAATTAATTAATCTCATAACTTCTGTTATCATGTTGCCAAGCAACGAATTAAATTGAATTTCCTTTATTCGAAATAATTTACCATTTCACATTGTAAACTGGTATAAAAAATGGTTAAATATAACAAATGAAGAAAATTGATTGGTAACTGACGGAGAAATAAGGGTTGGGAGCTACAGGGAAACAGGCGAGAGCGCCCGAGATTTGCTGATTCCCTTTCTAAACAAATGCCAGATACCCCTCTGTACAGGACTTTCATTTTGTTTTATAAGAGGTGGAGTATCCGAGTGGGATCATGTGTGAGCAAAGGATTACACGGAGCCGGCAACCTCTGAAGTTCGCGGTCCGGTGACAGGAGGGTCTATTAACTCTGACATTAAAACCACCGCCCCAGACCCCCTGGCACTCCCGGGAAAACTTCATATAGTCTAAAAGGCGAGGAAGAGGTGGGGGAAAAAAAATTCAACTTTTATATATCACTTATCCATAACTTTCAGATACGATTTTCATGCAAAATGTTAAAATCTACTAATCATGGTCTTGGTTTGAAAAGATAACTTCATTCCCTATAATTTTGCGACAGAGAGCTTTAAAGTTACAATTAACTATATTATAAATATTTTGTTACTCATACTAACAATTTTGTTTGTACAATACCTTCAAGCTTTGAACTTTATTTTGAATATTAAAATTTTGCAGTTCGAGTTTTGTCATTCTAGAATGCATTTTCATGGTGAGAAAAGATTTTAAGTTCAAATAGCAGTATTAGAAAATTTGATATTACGTTTCATGGAGTGTACAAAGAATCAAAAAGCCGATTTAAATAAAAATATGAGAAGGAGTTGATCGGGGATTTGCCTAAAAAAATTAAATAATAGGCAAAAATTAAATAATACTATTTGTTTAATTTAATATTTATTTGACCACACCCTCGATCTACTTCTTGTCATATTATATCAACGGTCAACCATCTCTACATCATTAAATAAAAATATTTCATACTTTTTTTTTAAATTGATTAATTAAATTATTTTATTCTTTTTAAGTTCAATGAAATAAGGTTATTTATTTCAGAAACAATGATCTAGATCTAAATTGTTGCCCATGTAGTTATAACTAAATGAAAATTAAGAAAAAAGAAAGAAACATTTTTTCTAACAGAAACGGTATCAGAGTAGAATTTTCAAGAAGAAAAATTCCAATCATCTAATACATGCACTGCTAAACAATTTTTTTTGCAATGTTTATAAAAATTATGACAATATCATATATGCTGTTTCTGAAATAACCAATTTAAACAGGTTATACCCAAAGAGCAGATATTCACTAATATTATAAATGATATATTTTCAATTTAACTCTCATTAAAATAACTACAAATCAAGTACTGCTACATAGTATAGCAGTTAGAACCTTCTCAAACCAATTACTTTCAAACATTGTCAAAAGTTATTTGAGTTTCGTGATAACTGTTTCCGATAAAACTCTTTCCAACGATATCATTTTTCCTAAAAATCTATTTTTTCCCACAATCATTAGTACTGATTGGATACTATGCACAGTCATAAAAGGAACTGGAAAGTGATGCAAATGTACAAATTAGAAAAATGATATGGGCAGAAAAAGCATGGTAGGTTATAAATTGATTTAAATAAAGATATAATGTAGTTTTCACTTTGTCTTTCCTGTATATGAAAGTCGCTTCATGAGCATGTATCACACCAGACTTTTTTTTTATCTGGCTATTTTTGCGGGTGTTCAATTATCTATAACCAACCTCTACTATCCAGAGTGGGTAGGTTGATTCATTCGAGGGTCCATCATTAAATGAATTCAAACTGGCACCACTAGACACTTTTTACGAGTTAAAATCATATTTGAGCTTGACTTAGCCACCCCTAACCACCTTCAAAGTACCTCCCGATAAGATTTGAGCGCCACGTCTCTCTTTAATTTTTTTAACTAAAACAACTCATATGGCTTTTTAACAATGAAAACAAATAAAATGCAATTGCATTATGCAAAATGCTATTTTAATTGCTAGGGGTTTTCCAATTATCAAAAAGCTTCAATCACAAAGGGCATTAGGAAAAATTATATACAATTAAAGATTAAAACTGAATAAATACACACAACTTTATATAATTGATACAAATTGGTGTATACTCGCTTGAAAATATTATTATCAGAAGTTTAAACTAATGAAGTTTTGAACCTTAGGAACAGTCATAAAATAGGGAAAGGCATTGGATTCAGAGGGTCAGCTAGCCAATCCTTATCAACCGATAATTTTAATGGTGAATGGATTCAGAGGGTCAGCTAGCCAATCCTTATCAACCGATAATTTTAATGGTGAAGATACCATTGACTATAGATACAATCAAGATGTTGTTTGGAGAGGGGAGTGGGATCAAGGAGGCATAGAACTGACAAATGGGTTCTAAAAGCCTAATTAAGCCTTATCTTAGTACGCCTGTCTGCATATCATGGACAGTAATATGATGCTAAATGTGACCTTCAAGGTTATCCTGGTATCAGAAGTTTAAGTTCTTCTGTAAAAGAATCATATTGTTCAATCAAAGATGGATGAACTCCTGATCTGCAGGGGACAAAAAAAATCCCTAGTAACATTTAAACTAGTAATACTTAATAGAATATTATTATATATTATTAACTAGTAATAATAATAGTAAAACTAGTAATACTTAAAACTAGTATACTTTTTTGTTGAGGTATAACAAGGAATTTTACTGACAACTGACAGCTTTAATAATTGAGATAATAACAGATAAATGATTTAAATGACATAGAACCATATTCAGATAACAAAATAGTGGGTTAAAACATAACTGCATAACACATTTTATTACATTGAAATTCACCACAGAAGTATGAAACTGGCAGAAATTCAAAGAAAGCTGGACACCTTAAATTCTATGAAGCATGGTTCTTTGTTATCAGTAAATACTAAAATTGCAGTACCAAAAATCATAGTAATTAGGAAATCATTGAACATGACGATAACTTACGCCAAGTTGATGTAGTTTAAAGTTTGCTGTAATACTCTTGGAGATATATAAATCTTTCTAGTATGCTGATCTAATATTTTTAACAGAACTTCAAGTATTCCAATTGAGAATGTTTTAAGAAACCATTCGGCAAATTGATTGTAATCCTTTTCAACATTTCCTGGGCTACCATACCTGTAATAAAAAACAACTTAAATAGCACCTTTATACCAACAGAAAACAATAAATATACTTATTTTGTGATTAATACTGTGAGTTACGATATTGTTATGTTATCTAACAAATATATCACATGGCATTATTCTTGACCCGATTTTTCTATGTCACCTCTCTGATCATAAAACCACATTAAAAAAAATTATAGGGGAGGACACAATCCCACTATCTTCTAAAATAAAATAAAAAAGGTAAGAGGAAGGAGATGGTCCTTCCTGGGTGGCGGTCAAAAATAGACTAAAATAATGGCAAAACTATTTTATTAAAAGCCAACGTTTCGACCCGACTTTGAAGGTCTTTAGGGAGGTGTGTTCAGCAAGGAGTTTCACTTAAAACAGTTTTAAGTAAAACTCCTTGCTGAACACACCTCCCTGAAGAAGATCTGCAAAGTTGGGTTGAAACGTTGGCTTTTAATAAAATATTTTTGCCACTATTTTAGTTTATTTATGAACGCTAGCCCGGATAATCTCCTTCCTCTATAATACAACGATCAACTATTAAGAATTCAATAAAAATTGTAAGCCACTTCCTGACTTTAAACACATGGACTCTAAAATCATTGAAAAAACAAATTGAGCTTTTCTAAAAGATTACATTTATATATCATATCTTCATCAGATCTCACTATGATAAACAATACAAAGGAACAATTAAAATCTAATAAAGTGCAATTCCAATAATCTGAACAAATTACTATAGTGAAGTACTCAAGTTACCAAAAAGTTCCGATTACAAAGGGTGTTTAAGAAAATTACATACAACATAAGATTGAAACTCAATAAATACATACAAGTCTATAAGCAGGATATATACTAGTGTATACTCACTTAAAAACATTCTTATTATTGTGTATAAAAAAATTTGTTACTTAATTATTTTTTTGACTCAAATACTCAATGACAAAATAAGATCAATGTAGGTACTAACAAACTAACTGGCCAAATAAGGTAAATATCGGTGACAACAAATTGATCAAATAAGGACAATACAGATTAATAACCAACTGACCAAATTAAGGCAATATAGATAACATTTTGCTGGGTCTGAAATCCCTCCTTCCCCCCTCACCATCCAAGAAGCAAAAATTTTAGAAATGAGTTATTTTATTTGTATTCATCATTTATTTTAGAATTCATTTTTTCCACCTTTTAAATCATTTTAGTTTTTTATTTACTGGTTTTTGCAATATGGACGTTAACGTGTTCTAATTACCACATCAATATAAAATAACATACTTGAGTATAATATAAAATTATTATTAATTACTTTTGAATCTTAAAATCTATCACAAGAAGAACTGCAAGACTCCAGAAAATAGAGAACAGACATAAAGGCAATTACACATTTGAAATTTATGAACAAGAAAAATTACCTTTCAAATATACGGTGAAGAATATGTAAAGCCCATTTCTTACACTTCCACCACGGTAAGTCTGCCCTTTCGTCCTCATCAACTTGATTGGTATGAGCAGGTACCGGTCGGTCACTAATCTGTCTTAGTATCTCCATCCATTGGGAGAAAATATCTCGGGTTATCAGTTCGATTGGTAGAGCAAACTTAAAAAATGAATGAAATATTATTATTATATACTAAACTACTCTAATACTAAAATTATTAATATGGAAAAAATAACACAAATTATAAATATATACATATAATTTATACATGTGTCAATAAGTTTAATATTTAAACACACCATAACCGAATAAACTACATTGTTTTTATACCTGAATGAGAGCAAAATAAATTTTTAAGATTTGCTTCTGCAGCAGCACTGATTGTTCAGATTCATCTGGGAGTAGGCGAACACACAGTTGGTAAATAAGAGGAAGCAGAAGGTTCATAGCATCGATAAGTGGACCACGGTCATTTTGTTTTTTGTATCTGTTGACAACATTAAGTTGAATCAATGCAAATTTAAGATAAAAACATGAAGCAATAATCATCAGACATAAATTTGACAGAAAAGTACTCTGAGATACTTTAGTCAAAGAAGTTTCCAGTGTATAATTCCGGTTTGTAAGGGTCAACATTAATTTTGTTATAGACCAACTAAATAAAGCTTTACCATTCTATTTCACCTTTAAATTATATGATAACCTGAAAGGGTAATTTAATTGAGATCTAGAATTCTAGAAATAGCTAAGGTCAATTTTTCTAGATAATTTTTTTTTCTATTAAATAATTTTTGTAAAGTAACAGTTATTTACACATTTTATGTCACTAAGTAACACTTCTGGTGTTTAATAAAACAGGTCCTGATCATAGCATAACAGTATTATTACAAGCTTTAAAGATTCGTAGACATAAAATTCACTGTGATTTACAAAAATTTATTATGGAAACAAAACAATATATATCACAGTAATTTTTTTAATATAATAAATTTAAAATTTACTTAAAAACTCCAAATCAAAAGTTAACCAATTTCACATAAAATCAATAATAAGAAAACTTAAATTAGACTAGTAAGCAATAAAAAGTTTTTAAAAAAAATTTGCGATGATGGCAGAAATATTGTTTAACATAGAATGAATAATAGAAGTTTATAGGTAGGTTGGGAGTGGTTTAAGAAGAAATAACACACTAATAAGAAACCCTATTTTATTGGGTACCGACCTTTAGTCTTAAATTTGAGACTAAAACATTGACACAGAATATTCTCAATTGTAGTTATTCTTGTAGTTATCAAACTTTTAAACTCTGTAGCTCGATGTTACCTTACATATTTCAAATTTTTTTATTTAAAAGTCATGTTTAAAATAAAAAAAAGAAAATTAAATTGAAAATTTCACAATATGTTATGAAAGAAATTCAAAGAACCCCATTATCATGCTTCTTGGCAACTACATTTAATATTTTATTAAAAAGATTATATGCTTTAAGTATAGAAAATTTTATTCACTAGACAGAACATTTTTTTTAAATAAAAATTTAAAGATCCTAGAAAATGTATGATTAATTGCATATCCCAAAGAAAAGTAGCTATAAAAAAAATTAAGCCATTCTATAACAAAACAATTATGCAATCTGTCATGATTTAACTGAGAAAAGCATGGTGAATTAAAATCATCAGAAAAAAGTTAGAGAACATCAGTTTCTCCTCTACCATTTGTTAGATTTCTTCCAAATTAGACAGAAATACAATCGCACATTAGATATTTTTTTAAATGATCATTGAATGTTTGTTTCACAGCAACAGTTAAAATAATAAAAAAAATTAATTACTCATTTAATGATTCATCCAGACACCATCAAGTGTCACTCACTTTCACAAGAGAGCCACAATTACACTGTAAATGGGAACTCATAATAGTCAAGAATTGATAATCTGTTAACAGTAAAACTTCCCTTAACTTAGATAATGATTTACGACATGAACACATCCGCTACTGGTTCTTTTTAATTAAAATTGGGGCATTAATTCACTTGAATAAATAGCTGTTTTGAATTCTACTTGCTCAAAAAGAATAAACAAATCTCAGACCTTAGCAAGTTCAGTCACTTTCATCTATTGTTGGACACATTCGGCCTTTCTTGAAATTACATTTATGGTATCATCATGCGATCATGTACCAGCTTTAAAAGTGGAGAGACATTTGTAAAGAAGTACTATTGGTCAGTTAGTTAAGTTCAGCCATCATAATAACTTATTAATAATATAAAAAGTAATGAAATCAGACATACTCATATATTTTAACCAATTGATAAAGGCACAGCAATGCCCCTGACCATCCTGTCGCTTCTGGAGTCTGAAGATATATGCTAATTTTGTCAACAATCTGAGTCCATCTTCCAGGAAAATCATTCTTCACCATCATATTAACACAAACAGCAAGTTGAGGCCTACACACAAGAGAATATGCAGTTTAACGTAAATGAGGAAGTATTTGTTAGTAGAAATTAGAATAAAATAGTTATCCCGAAATATTGTTAGCGATATCAAAGAGGATGTAAAAGCTAATTAGAAAGAAAACATACTGTATTAATTCAGGAGCATGAACAATTGCATCAACAATTGAATCTCTAATCATAGATCTGTCTTGTTCATGAAGTGAAAACTGAAGAGGAAGACCAGGTTCCGCTGGCTTATCAGACCAATACTGTGTGATCATATTTTTCAGAAAAATTGCTCCTAGAAAAAGTAATTAAGATTTCACATTCACATAGCAATCATAAGTATAGAAAAAGCAAAACTCTTTTATACCTGCTTGCCTCACTGGCATGTCGATTTCAGCCATCATAACAAGTTGTAGAAGGGAAGGAGCAAAACCAATTATCTTTTGTACCTAAACAGGATAACAGATTCTTTAATTATGCTAAATCCTAGCATTGTGAGAGAATTAAGGCTAACAGAACGATTTTCATATCAGACAAAACAACTTCTTTCATGGTACAGTCATTGGTCAAGTCATTTGCGTTTGTACACAATTAGAAGAAACTACCACTAAGAACCTATTATTTGGGACTGTTACTAGTTAAACATCAATAATAAAACATATAACCCAAAATACAAAACCATGGCCACCGGCCATGCTTTTAAAACAAACCTGTACAAGTTGTTCTTCAGCTTGTTGCCTTTGATTAGGGTCAAGAGTAGCCCTAAATATTTCCGTAAGTTTTCTAGTATCCATTTTTGAAAGCTTAGGATGCTAATCTCCGATATCTGTAACAGTTGCTGAAATGGGCACTAAAATATAAGAAACTAGTGTCACGTGACTCGTCAATAGGGAAAGGCGCACCGGATCCTCCATACTCCAGCTTAATCACATGTCAGTTGTAGATTATCCCTCCTTTCTTTAAATATTACCTTCAACAAATTTTTATGTTCCTTTAGAAGAATCATTTTATGAAAAATTGGAAACATAAAAAACAACACTCTGTTTTTTTAGTTGGTAAGTTCGTTCCTTATCTTTGATATGAATTTTAAAAACTTGGTGTTTTAATCAATTTACCACACATTCATTCTTTCAGGAAAGAATATACTCCATAATTATATTGTTTGTGTTAAAAAATTTTTAACGAGCTACTGTAAATTTAGAAATAAATTAAGGGGTTCCATTACATCATAGTTTTATTTACAACCTATTTCATTTTTGTACACATATTTTGTTGATACCTGTTGTACGTTCTAAAAAGATTAATTTTACTTTAGAATTTTAATAAATGAGCAAGTGAACCGTCTTTATCTTGTGGCTTTGAACTCTGTATTATAAAATCAGTTTTGTTTCATGCCCAGCATCATACTATTATCATACTCTTTATTTTTAGACGGTTCGAAATAATCCCACATTAGTTATGTACTGTACCTTCTAAAGTACAATTATTTTTCATTATAAAATAAAAAAACATATAAATATGTTTGTAAGTGACCGAATACCGCCTCGGAAGCTATATAGCCCTGGAGCCAAGGCCAAAAAACCGACCTCATCGCAGACGAAGGTTTGAATGTAAATTATGAAAGCGCATAACTTTTAATTAAAATGAGCTTTGTCTGCCATTCCTAAGCCGCTGCTTTCAAAAATGGCGACCATGCAAAGAGGTCCAAATTTGCCGAAAATGGACCTCATCCTAGATAACGGGCGGATCTACGGGGGGACTTTCGGGCTGAAGCCCCCTCCAAAATGCCAAAATATAAACATGTTTTATCGAAAAAATATTTAAAAAGTATCTCTTAAAGTATTATTGTTCGTGTAATTACATTTTAAAGGGCTTTAGGAATCACTTCCACACCATTTCATACAGGTTAGTTAGCTTCTTTCTTTTTTTCCAAAGTAATTATCGTGGGCTGAAGCCCCCCCCCAAATCCTGGATCCGCTAGTGTCCTAGATGAAACTTTGAAAGATGAATCTTATTGCAATGAAGCGTCATTTTTGAGCTTTCTGCCGTTTCTGTAGGGTAATAAACTTACCAATCTTAGGAACCTTGAAATTATAACTACAATGAATGTGATAAAAGGAAGAAAGAACTTTGTCTGCCTTCTTTAGGCCGTGGCAATCTACTGGCAGGCTCTAATTAAAAAACTGCAATTTTAGGTGTAAAAAATTATTTAAGTTAGGAGATTTGAAACCAAGCTATATGATACTTTATATTAGCAGTTAAATAAAAACGTAGTATGCCTATGATAGGCTGCGGCAATCTACGGGCAGACTAATTAAAAAGTTGTAATTTTAGGTTTAAATGTTTATTAAAGTAAGGAGGTTTGAAACTTCGCTATGTGATACTTATATATTAGCGTTTAAATAAAAATGTAGTCTGTCCATCTTAGGCCGCGGCTATCTACTAGTATACTTAAATTCAAAAATTGCAATTTTAGGTGCAAAAAATTACCAAAGTTAGGAGGCTTGAAATTTCGCTATTTGATATTGTTAATTAGATGTTAAATAAAAATGCAGTCTGTCATTAAAAGACCGTTGCTTTTTTTTTAGTGACAGACTGAGCTTGAAGTTAAATAACTTGTAGTCGAAGCGCCTTTAGCCGCCTATTTAACTTGAGTACAGGATGTGAAAATAGTAGATAAAAGAATGAAATGCCTCATGAATACATCCTGACATTACTCAGATTTTAAGTAAAAATTATACAACAAATGGCACGATTGCTGGCGAAAAGGAAAACGATAAACCCTGTTTACATTATTGGAACAATAGTGAATTTATTTATTGAGTTCATCAACGCAATGAACATCCTAAGAAAAGTTCGGCCCTAATATCTTTGGCTAAAACTCACAAGATTTAAAGTAAATTATTAAAATCAGTTTTAACCCATTTATTAAATAAAAAAAAAATTCTGAAGAAACAAATATATGAAATATTGAAGAATATTTGGAAATACGGGGTGGTACCTAGTACACCAGGTTTGCTCGACATACTTTTCACTTGACCAGCCGTTTCGTCTAATAAAAGTCGGCCAAACATCTTAACGATTAGTAAAGATGACATACATTTACAAGCAGGACTACAAAGAACATGGAAACACCTCTTGAGAGCACAATGAAGAACTAGAGGGGAAGTCCAGAATTCTTCCCTATAATGGAATCAGCCAATAGGAAAATTTTCTGTGTAAATATTTTTTGGACATGGAGGGGAGAAGAAAAAAAAATGACATTTTGGGGTGCAGCTGGAAAATATTCTGTTTTAGGAAGGCCTATTTTTTTTTTTAATTATGAATTATTTGAGATTTTTTTTTTATCATCTTCCAACTATACTGCACATACCTCAAGTAATATCCTTGTTTAATTAGCTTTAAGTCCATAATAATTAAGATTCATCTCAAGTTGTGTGAATAAATTATGTGGTTTGATATCCTGTCACCTAAAATACCTGTATTTTCAGCTAAAATGTCTAGAATAAATTATTGAAGAGTTTAATTAAAATTAAATATCTGAAATCAACTGGTCTGGTATATATAATTTATACTTATCCTTCATACCTTTAATCTTTTTAAGATCTTCTACAATACTTCATTCCTTGTATGTCCCAGTCAATTAACCGATTTAGAGAAAATTTAAACAAATATATTTAATTATTTATCGGTTAATTATTGTCACATTTTTGTATTCGTTTAGTGAATTATCTTTCAATTTTCTATTATTTATGTTATTCCTTATTTTTTTTTTAAATTTCTCTTCCAGATTTAGGTTAACTTTAATTAGAGTATGTATTGTTGTCGTTAGTTTATTGTAATATGGATTTTAATTTTTTTTTTTTTTTTAGACATAAAGTTTGATAGGATTTCAATATATTAACATTATAGATGATTTTTACATTTTTTTCTCGCCCGAGTCTCTCCATGTAGTCGCAATACAACAGCCTGGGCCTGCCTCAAGGTCGCCTTCTCTCTGGTTTTAGATTTCTCTAAGAGTTCAATTCCTCTAGGAACCATTTTCTCTTTCTGTATCACCCATCCAGTACACATGGCCAAACCACTTCAGTTGGTGCTCCTCCACGACTTTTTTACAGACCTTATGTTCAGTTCCTCTCGTTCCTCCAGCGGACTCTTCATGTTTTTCCAAGAACTCTCCTGAGGTATCACATTTCTATGGCCGTTACTTTACTTGCATGTTTGTCCAGGACCGCCCAACTCTCTGCACCATACAAAAGGCAGGCAGAAATACTGTTTTAAACAACGCTATTTTTGTTTTCTTATTTAGTTCCTGTTTCCCTAATATTGTAGTACAGATAGAGTAAAATACACCATTGGCCTTCTTGACTCTATTTAAAAGCTCCTGGTCGATCCTTCCTTCCCTGCTGAAAATTGTGCCCAAATACTGGTAGTTATCTACCTTTTCTAATGGCTCATTATTACGTTTTATGACAACTTGGTCTTCCACATCTCGGCCGACGAGCATCACCTTACTTTTTGTAGGGATTATTTCCATTCTCTTCCTCTGGAGTTCTTCTGACCATTCATTGACAGCCATCAGAAGCCTTTCTTGGGTGTTGACAATCAGGACCACGTCCTCTGCATATAGGAGAGCTTGTGCTTGCACAGGAATTAAATTCCAGAACCGCACTGTTGCTCTGAATGATCTTCGCTTGCAAAGCTTCCTTACTTTATCCATGCATATGATGAATAGTAGTGGGCTTAGAGTATCACCTTGCTTGACGCCTTTATAATACCTAAATGGCTCCGATTCAGATTCGTTAAGCCGCACTGCTCCCTTGGAATCTTGGTATATCTATCATTTTGATAGCGCTGATGAGAATGGTTGACACCCGTTTTTCCTGTAGAGCATTCCAAATCTCTTGGAGAGGAATCGAATCAAATGCACCGTTCAAGTCCAAGAATGCCAAAAATAAACTTCCTCCTCTTTCCCATGCTTTCTCAACAACCATTCTTAAAGAGGAAATATGATCCTCGTTTTGCCTCCGTAGTCTAAAGCCAACCTGCTCCTCTTCCAGATCATGCTCCACCAATCTCCTGAGCCTCTGTTTCAATATTCTTTTATATAATTTATATACTACAGAGGATAGGCATATTAGTCTATAATTCTCGCATTTTGTCTTGTTGCCTTTCTTAAAAATCGGATATATAATATTATTTGCCCAGTCCTGAGGAATTAGGTAAAAATACATATGTTTATAATGTTTAGTTTCAACTTCTTTTAGTTTCTAACAATCTTTACTTTCGGTAAAATTTATTATTATTTAAAATGCTGAATGCAATCCCTAAGATGGTTCTAACTGAACCTCTTCGCGACATTAGAAGAAGGAAAACACCAAAATTTAGATGATCAGATGTTTTGCCAAGAAACGCAAAAGATATCCTGGATGTCAGAAGCTGGATAAAAACTGCACATTGCAGAGATAACTTGAGGAAGCTGTTGAGGAGGCCAAGACTCATCGAGTTTCAGCGCCGAGATAAATAGATAGATAGATAGAATTTAAGAGTAGATTATCTTGAAAGTTGAAATCTTAGGTTGACCCTTAGAATAGCAATGCAGAACAATTTTTATGTACTAGTTTTCTTTTATTAGTGTTAGTTTCATATTTTAATTTTAAAAAGTGTATTATATTGGGTTTTAAATATTGACATACATATTTTTAATATATTTACATACTTTATGTTAATTTATGTTTTAACTATTTTAGTACTTACCTACATTTTATTTATTATTTTTTGTTGTTTTTTAATATTCGAAAAAATGAAATAATGAAGACCATAATAAAGAAATAAGGGCACGTGATAACGAGTCAAAATGTTCCGTTTCCAAATAATGATCAGACGGAACAAGATCTTTATTTTAATTTTCAAGGAATTGATTGTTAGTTCCAAAATAAAGTTATTGTTCTATTTATATGATTTAAATGTTTACGAGACCTTTAGGGTGTGGTAATGAGTTGAAAAATCGGAAAGGTGAACAAATGGAATTTAAAACTTAATTTTTCAAAATTTCAAATTATTTAATCAAACTAACAGTTGATGGAGAGTAGCTCAGTGTTAGGGTACTGAATTCCATTGTTCTAGGTTCCTGGTTCATGTCCAGCTAATGGTACATAAATTATTTATTCTGTTTATCAGCCGTAGATCGTCCTTGGAGTCGAAAAACCTTCTTGGGGCATACCCAAGAAGCCTCTATTAAGTGAGCAGAGAGAGAGAAATACTTTATTAAAAGTAATGCTGTCCTACTACATAGGGTTGCTTCGTACACAGCATACCTATCAATCCACAAGGACATTAATTTTATATTTCATTTTTCTATTTTTTATACATATATATGTCATATCTTTCCTTTCTTTCTCTCTTTTTCCTCTTTCCCCTCATAACAATACACTCACAAGTTATCAACAATAAAACCATATTAAATAATATACATACATTAAATAATATAAACATTTTTCCAAGACAAAAAAAAAAAAAAATTTTCCCTGTTTCTCTCTTTAAATTTTCAAACGCCAGGAACTCATTACAACATCGCACACATACATAACACAGCAATTCCCAGAATGTAGACAAAAAGACAGGACGACAGCGGATCAATTCAAAATTTAATAAACAGTTATTACCAGATGTCCTCAATCGGTATAAATATGATAGTGGATGATTCCCAGGGAGTCCAAAATAACATTTTCGGCCAATACCGCGAGCTCCCCAACATCAACACCTAGTTCTTCGAGAAAGCTCCTTGTTCTTTCCGGGATCGTTCCGCGAGGCCTCTCAAACCAGAGGCCTCTCACGGTGAACTCTCTCTCTCCGAAGGTCTCGCGGAATTTCTCTTTTAGGAAAGGGATGCATTTTTCGTATGTATTCCTCTTTTCCCTTTCCACTTCACCCGCCTGATCGAGGTCGTTGTTCTCAAAGCGGACAGTTGGATCCAAAATTAGCGCTGTCTTTCCTGTTCTGGGAAACGCGAATATTTAATATTTAATGATAGCCATAATTAAATAATTAATTAAGATGGTCAAGATTTCGGTCAAATAACTCAGGAACAACCGTTGAACCAAAAACAGTACTTTCCCTAAATAGTACTGAACCCAAGACCCTTTATGGATCAGCATGATACAAGATAACTATTGATAGATAGATAATGTTTAATAGCTTATTAAGATAATACTTTTGAATAAGAAATATTTGATGGAAAATGGCAATACCCTTCAAACAGCGTTTGGCACTTTCTAAGAAATTGGTCCGGATGTTAAAATTCTAATCCGATTCTTTTTTCAATACTCTGATGCACAGGCGAATCTACGGGGGACGAGGAAGGGCTTTTGGGCTGAAGCCCCCCAAAATGGTGAAAGGTAACCATGTTTATGGTAAAAAAAAATATTAAAAAATTATCTCTTTAAGTCTTGTGGGCGGGGTGGCTGAATGGGTTAACGCGTTGTGCACAGCACCACCATTGCCAGGCAACCTGATATATGACAATTGTGTTATAAAAACAGTCACGAGTTCGCGTCCCGGTGTCAAGGCATCTTTTCACTCCCACACTCCCTGGCCTGGGAAAACCCCGTATAGCCTTAACGGCGAGGAGGGGGAGCACCCCAAAAAAATCTCTTAAAGTCTTATTGTTCTTGTAATTACATTTAATAGGACTTCAAACACAATTTCATATAGGTAGTTTGTATCTTTCTTTTTTTTTTTTTTCAAAGTAATTGTCGTAATTAGAGGCTTTTATGTTACTCTTTCAAACCTGGAAAGGAACATATTATCTGGTATAACGGTCACAATAAATAAAGAATCAATGTCTCCTCCAATAGTAATAGAACCATCTTCCAAAGACAGTAGGATATCAGTTTTCTGAATTAACGTATCTGCATCTTCTGTTCCTTTTTTAATGATCATTTATGTCAGCTGAAATTTTGCGAAAGTAGCGAGATATATCGTGATTGTTTTTCCATTCCATAACAACTGATGGTTTTTCATCTACTGAAACCTCGTACTATTAAGGAGAACGTATGCAAAAAATTATAGGCTGGAATGAAAATTTCAATGTTTTCTATGATTTTTTAATTTCCGTTAATGGGTTAACCATAGCAAATAAAAGTTTGGCAAGATTAGAAAATCAGCTGAAATACTTGGAAAAAATGTTCATCAACTTTATCGCTTTCACACAAGGATCATTTTTAGAGAACAATTGTTGGCTTTTGAATCCACTTTATAGATATATAGCTGTTCTTCTGCATAATATATCTTTCTGTATATCGTCAGTACAACCATTTGTATCCATGTGAGTACCTGTATCACCTACTTTTGAGTTGTAACTAATGCTTTTATCAGCTACTTTTTAGTATCGAATACAAAGTATCTGATACATAGAATATTACCCATCTCTAGTGTGAGGGTCTATAGCGGCTGCAGCTGTTGGACATCGGCTTTTATTGATGCGAAAATGAATGCAGCAATGTATCGTAACATTCTGAAAAAATAAATAATAATAATAATAATAATGACAAGCGCGGACGGCTTAGGGCTGAAGGGTAAGTTCCATTTATATCAGCCAAATACACTAGTCTATGTAATGGCCCGAACTATGTGCCTTTAAAATTGCCAAGAAATGGTCAATTCGCCTCCTCAATCTCCCAACATGAGCCCCATTGAGCACCTATGGAGTCATTTAAAATGGAAAATCACGAAGAGTCCAATAAGCTGCAAGGAAAAACTTAAGGTATCCTCGCAAAATGGTTCTAGATACTGACTTCTGTGATCTCAGAACTAGTCTCTTCTATGCGGAATAGGCTCCGGAATATAATAAAAGAGAAATCCCATAAAATATTAGTTTATTTATTCTAATATCAATATCAAATTCGTTATTGATAAACCTCAATAAGAAAGAAGAAAAATAAAAATAAATTTTATTCTGGGACTAAGACCCCTTAGAATAACTACAATGTACAATTTAATGACAATTGTCTGGCATTAGGAATAAATTAAATTATATGATTTTCTAGATCTAAGATTACAATAAAGAAAAGGCACTGTTAGATATATATCATAGATAAATTCAGATGTGCGAGTTCACATATTTGTTCACATAAGCAATGTGGGTGATATATAATTATCTGTCAGATAACATTAAGGCGACTGACAGATCTGAAAAACGTGAACATTATTTTATACATATTTGGAAGATTGGTTACTGAGGAGATGGATAAATAAATTATGTTTATATAAATTATGTATGTTTTAATGAAGTCAAGGATGATGATTTGTGTATGGAGATTGGTAGAGAATTCCAAAACAAGGTAGCACGCATGAAAAAGGATTTTTTAAAGGAAACAGTTCTATGAGAAGGAATAAACAGATTTGAGGGCTGGGATCTCGTGTCGAACGAATGGACAGAGGAACAATGAGTAAACAAATCGAGAATGTAATACGGTTTTTTGGTTGAAAAGGTTCGAAAAAGGAATAAACCTAGGAAGTATTGCCGGCGGAAGACTGGATAGAGCCATTTCAACTTGACATTCCAACTGGAGACGTGGGAACGCCTGGGGACTCCAAAAATGAATCTAATGAAACAATTGATTAATCTCTTTAATCTGATCTCAAGCCGACCAGACAGTCTACCGTATACAAGATAGCCATAATCGAAATGAGGGAAATTGAGTGAGGAAACTAGGAGCTGACGGTATTTAAGGGGCATGGAATCAGGGAATCTTAGGGACTGGTTGAGTGTAGCAATGGATTTTCGAATTATTTATATTTATATTTATTATAGAAAGTGCCCAAAAACTTTTGTTACCTTTATTTTCATTGTTTTTTGTTATTCTGTTATTATTTTTTATTATATGAAAAATTTAGTTAAATTATATCATAAGACTTATGAATTATAGTACTAAACGTGCTTACGTAAAAGTACTAGTTTTAATGGTTACAAAACTAACCAGCAGGAATTGCAAAATTGTATTTGTTATTTTTATGAATGTTCAGAAAGTTACTGATGTATTTAGTATTAAGTTATACGATAAAAGTATTTTATATTTTATTGTTAAAATTTCATTTGGAGATAAACTTTTTAAAAATTATTCAAGGTTTATGGAAATAAAGTATATTGGACATTATTGTAATAATTGAGGCTGAAATAAAAATTAATGGTAAATTATGGGATCCATGATCAACAATATGCTTCTTTAGGATATTAAAAGTAACTTAGGAATTGTGCTCTCTGAGTTCAACTTTATGTGCTTTGGCGTTATGATTTGAGGGAGACTGATAAGTAATTTGAATTCTTCGGTATCTATTATGCTAAATATAAATTAATTTTGATTACAATAATGAGATTAATGAATCTCATAAGAGGTTCTCAACATAGAAATTTGGCCCAATTATCAGATATTATAATAGCTGAAAAACGGTAATTTAGCATCTTGAAATCATTTGTAGTTTTTCCTTTATAATGAATTAGTTTCATTCTTTTAGAAGCAAATGGATACCAGTTGTTGGATTGGAAATTCATGTTCAATTAAAGAGTAATGCCAAGTTATTCTCACCATCAACAACTATTTTCGGTGCACCTGCTAATACTAATGTATCCTTATTTGATGCTGCGATTCCTGGCACACTTCCAGTAATAATTTCTTATTATTGAGATTTATGCTTTATGAGTTAACTGTATCATTTCTCTTTTGAATTGTTTTTAACTATTTATGTTACTGTATAATTATTATTAAATTGTTTTTAGGTTTTAAATAAAAAATGTGTTGAATTAGGTGTGTATACAGCATTAGCTCTATCTTGTGACGTGAACTCAGTTTCATTTTTTGATAGGAAGCATTACTTTTATGCTGATCTTCCTGTAAGTAGATTTATATTTTAGTATTTACTAAATTTTGCTGATTGTTATTTTATAAGTGTGACCATTATGACATACAATTGATATTCATAGACGTTTCAAAATGCACAAACTCATTTTATTCATTTTTTTACACTGTTCTACGAAAGTACATTTTCAGTTTTTTGTAGTTTTTATTTTCTATCACACTATGTTCATCAGATTTAGATTGCTTTTCTTTTGATTAACCAATTGTTAACTGGATATAAACATTAGACCAGCAAATTCTTTTTTTTCATTTCTATTTTCCTATTTATAAGTTATGGACGAGGAGCTGGTCATGAGTTAGTTAAAAACTTATATATGCAGATAACAGCTGTTCTCAGAAACAATCTAGAGGACATTGTGAAACTTATTAAGATTCTAATAAGAGGAACAAAGCCATTTGGCTTACAAGTAAAACAACATTAAAAAATTAAATATCATATGTAGTTGAAAAATATACCCAACAGCAGGCTCTGCATAGATGGATAGTCATTCCTGAGAGTAGACAGATTCAAATCACGGCTAAACGATAAGTTCAATGAATAATCAATTATCAGAAATAAATTATCCCACAATAAGTGTAAATAGTGCTTTCTGTTGTCTTTCAAAGAGAATATAAATAAATTCATTTAAAGAACCAGTGCCTAACTTAAATGTGGCTTCCTTTATCACTGCTTGACCTAAATATGGCTTCTAATAATAAAAAGCTTTCCCGTTTATGCATTAAACCATGTTTGGTTTATGTTCTTAGAAGCTGAATCTTCTTCAGATAAATTTGAATTATGAGTAAAATTGTGGAACATTATGGTACCCAAAATTATGGGCTATGATTCAAAAGAACTTCAGGTGCTAGGCTCTATCTCTGTAGCCAGCTAAGTATCACTTGTGTGTAGGTGTCACCTCGTCCCCCAAAAGGTTTGACCGAAAATTGTCTATTTTTATACACCTTCTGCCATAGCTCCATTGCCCTCCACCTAACTTTGGTGTCAAATGGGACCATCACAACTATTTAGCATAGAAAATAATGAACGCCTCTGCCATTTACAAGTTCAATCAAAGTCCCCGGGAGGAGGGAGGGAGAGACACCACTTGGAGGTGATATTAGGAGCTGGTAGGAATAGGGAGGCATGGGAAATAACAAGAAGTGAGTAGGGCACTCAGACCTAAAAGGAAATATGGGAGACTTGCAGCTTTCTCTTTCTTTACTCATCCTGTTATATTACGGATTTGCTTTTTGTGTAATAAGATTTACTTTATTCTTTAAATTGAGTATAATATGATGTTTGCTTAAAATAAATGTTAAAAATAATTAATTTTCTGTCTACATAAGAAAAGTCATTCTGACTTATTGCAGATAATTAAATTATTATAATATAGTTATTATATTGTACATATAAAATCTGCATCATGGGTAATATTTTAGTAGCCTGCTTTGTTACATGTATCATCCAAATTCAAAAAATCATTGTCGCCAATCTTTAAGATAATCACAGGTTTGTCAAAATTTTAATAGCAGCTGGACTGCTCCTCGCAGATTGATGAATAAAGGATTCCACTCTTGACACAAAGCATTATAGCAATCACCCTTGTTAGAGCATAATATCAATGGCACAACAGTGTCTGGTATAGATGGTAAATTTATCCATATCTGGTAGAGTTCAGCATGTTTACGGTTTCAGCCCATATCTTCTTGATTGAGCTTCTATCATATATATGATTAAACTCGTTAATAGGCATTGAGTGAGTGATGTGGTGCACCAGCAGACATTTACTAAGGAATTGTTCTTGGTTTACATGATTTCATTTGTGATCTTGGTTGATATACAGCAGGATGATTCCTACAACAAAGAGCCAGTTATGGCAATTGTTTCATGTTACCAATTGTTTATAAAGTCTACTGGTCTACTTTGGCTGAGTTTATATCCCTTTAAAGAAAAAAATATATATAAAAAATAAGGCATTTAGAGTTAGGAATAAGTAAATTGAAGTTTAATACTATAATATTATTTGTGTTTTATTTTCTTGCAAAATTTTCTTGGTTGTTTTTAAGGCTGGATATCAAATCACACAACAAAGAGCACCACTTGCATGTAATGGCCAGCTTGAATTTCCTGTTTACCAACCTGGTGTTCATAAAAAACCATATACAAAACTTTCCAAAATACATCAAATGCAGTTGGAGCAAGACAGCGGAAAATCACTTTATGATATTAATGGAAGGTAAATTATTTTTTCAATCACACATTTATAATATATATATATGTATATTACAAAATCCCTGGTTGTTATATATAATCATCACTGAATTTGGTAAATATGATAAATAATTAAATATATTAACAAATTTGCTAGCGATTTTAGATAATCCCTAAGTTAAGTTGTAATGGTGAATGTGATAGAACTCTACAACTTTGGATATAGAACTATATGTATATAGAATTTCTTGATAGTAGGGATGAGTCATTACAGATTTTTACTGTACCTGTTCCAAATTATGGATAACGTTCCAATGCCATTACTACAGATTTCATAACCCAATAAATGTTCATTGTAAGTAGGTTCCGTGATTCATTATTGCAAAATGTAAAATAATAAAACTGAAACTAAAAAAAAAAAAATAATTTAAAAAAGATAAAACACCTTATATTTCAATGAGAAAAAGAAGATTAAAATTTATGGACAAATGGTCAGGATGGGTAAAAATAAAATAAATAAGAATATTTTGGTTAAAAAAGATATTTCTGATTTATATCGGTAACAGCTGAGGAATATGGTTGAAATTAGTCATCGACAAATTTGTTTAAAATAATATTTGATTAATCAATGAATGAACAAAAAAATTATTTTTGAAATATTTTATTTTATCATATATAATTATTATTTCATCAAATAATTTTATCCTGAATTAATAACTTTGAATTGAAGTTCATCTAAATACATTTTAGTCTGTTATGAAGCCTCATTGAGCTGAAACTTAGTTTAAAATTTAGTTATCGTTGGATAGCTGCCTCAATATAATAGAATGAAAAATCTTGACTCAAATCATCGAACCTACTATTATATTAAAAAGTGATAATTCCTAATGGCAGATAATGTATTCATAACATTTATGTTTTTATGCATTTACAGTTTGGCTAGTTTTCTACACTTCATGATACTGTTATTTTTCTAATTACAATATTTTTTTCATTTTTATTTTTAAAAATATTACATATTATTAAAAATGGTTTTAAAGGAATATGTAAAAAAAAATATATATTAGAAATGTATATGCTACTTATGCACTTCTGTTTTTAGGGTTATTATAATTATAAAATTTTAGTATTCGTGGTTTTAAACATTTTAGAATTACAATTATTTCAGAAATAATTATTTAATATTTTGGTAAATTAATTTATTTTGTAAAATTAAAAAATAGTGAAAGAGATAATTAAAATTGTTGGTACTCAGGGGTACATGAACACATTCATTGCTTGTAACATGACCCATAATCTTGGGTCGAAATGTCAGCAACAATAACAATCTTAAAATTACTGTGTTCTGACTACTTATCACCTATATTTTATTTTTTTAGTTATATTTGGTAAATTGTATAATACTGAAATTTGAATATTATGAAATTAAGGTTATATTTTTATAATTAAGTACATAATCAACTTATTATGTTTTTCTCGTTTTGTATATTGTTTACATAAATTTTGTTTTATCCTCGTGTTTTTTGAAAAATACAATATATATTTGAATACGACTACTTATTGTGTTCATCAGCTGACACAAATATAGTTTCCCACAGTATCGAACTGTTCGTCATCTTACCAAATGTGAAAAAATAATAATATATTTTTGTAGTTCTAATTTATTTTTATTTTCACTATTAGTTATCGTAAAGAAAAAATTGATACACCTAAGGTTGATGATAATTTCAGTGGTCCATTACTAATTACTTGGTTAAAGGCTTGAAGTTTTTTTTTTTTTTTAAATACGATAACACTGGTGATTTTTTCTATTTCAGAAACCTTGTAGATTTGAATAGAGCTGGCGTACCTTTGATTGAAATAGTTTTTGCCCCAGATTTAAGTGATGGTTATGAAGCTGCAGCACTAGTTAAAGAATTAATTCTTATTTTAAGGAGGATAGAAACTTGCTCTTGTAAAATGGAAGGTACCTTTTAATGATTCAATATATACTTTTGGTTGCTCTATAGACTATATATATATATATATATATATATATATATATATATATGTTGTGAATATGCCTAGCGATTTAACCTGTGTTTAGTGAAATTTGTTATTTGAAACATTTCTTTTTATACTTAATTTTATAATTTTTGTTTATATCTAAAGTTATAAAAATAACTTATTAATAGCAATCTATAGAGCACTAGCAATCATAAAAACTGGCACATCTTGAAATTTGTCATTATTTCTTTCCCAACAGAAGGAAATTTTTTATCTTAATGTTGTGTGATGTATTCTGTTTGTAGAAGATCACAAATAAAGGAAAAACAAAACCAATATTCTTTTAAAAAATCTGTAATGTAAAATACAGCAAATGAACAATATTTTAAACAAAAATAAAAAGCTTATAATTCTTTTTAATTATGTAATCAGAGTTTCTAGTGCCTTGTGTTACTGCCCCTTGCTTTAATAATGGCTTGGATTCCTATAGGCATACTACGAATAAGGAGATCTTGAGAAATATGATCCTATTTACTAACCAAAGCAATCCTAAGTTCTTGAAGGTCATGTGGATGATTCTATCGTGAACGGATAGATGTCCCAAACTGTTTGTAAATAGTTTATTTTCATTAGACAAATCTGTAAAATAATCCAGTGCATAGTTCATGGTTGCTATTCTCTTGAGTTGTGAAATACAATTTGATTTGAAGTCTTTTTTTCTGGTATCCAAGGTTAAAAGTCTTTTAAAAAGGTAAAAAGACATAGACCTTGCTGGTCTATGTTCAGGCAATGAGAGAATTTTTATGGAAAAATTGAGAAGTTTCTTAAAGACTAATGCAGAAAGTAGGAAGTGACCTGTTTCTAAGCATGCTGTATAATTGGATGTCGTCTTAGGCCAAAAGTATAAATATTTCAGAAATTTGGTTGGACGGTTTCCACCACTTTCAAGTGATTTAAGCTCCAGATCTCAGCCATATAAAGAAGAGTTGAAGATACAATGGCGTCAAAGAGGGTTAGTAGATAACTGGAAACAAACTGATATGAAGTAAAATATTTATCCTACTACTAATAGAGAGAATTGTGAACTTTTCTTGAAAGAATTAATAAGTGGATTAATCCCCGGTGACCTCTCAAATATTTATTATTATTTCAGGCTCAAAAATATTTCTTTTATTTGCAGTTTTTACATAAAATTCAAAGTGTGCAGGTTTTTTTGACCACCAGTTAAGATGGTTCCAAAACATTTGAAAATTTCTGGAAAATTGGAAGCCAGGACTATGTTAGGAATAGGATTCATAGTCAGTCAATAGGTACTGAGATAGCTCAGGCAGAAGATCACCAGTGAGCATTTAGGAAGTCCGATGGTGTATTCATATCCGTTAAGGATTTAGAATTAGAATATTTAGTTTAGAATTACTGTGAAGGGGGTAACCCAACCTCCACTTTGCTCTACAAGACAAGCCGTCTGTCAGTTCCGGGGAATGCTCCAGTAAACATCTCTACAGCCATAAGAAAAGATATACCGGATGAAGACCACCTTTAATTGATGGAGTAGCCTACATTCGGAGATATAAGGACAGTCTAATTGAACATTATTTTGTACACATATGTTTTATTTATTAAATATAATATAAATATATATATATATATATATACATACGTACGCACACACACACACATGCACACGACTGTGTGCAGTCTTACTGTAGTACTTCTAACCCTAATGAAGTATAAAGCAGGCAACTGTGTGCCATTAATGCCCTGTGCAATTAACATTATCTAAGAGGTCCTTGTATGAATAATATCACTATCTTCCAGCTCAAAATGGTCCATCCTTGTGGTGGATAAGTTGAGAGGTTATGTCCAATACTACAATGTCATGGAGGTCTAAAAACCTAGCTTTTCATGGAACATGGTTATACGGTTTGACCTCACATAGAAGATTATTGCTCTAAGCAATATAGAGAGGGAGGCTCAGGGCTACAATATTGGCTAATAACCTTGATGCGATGGATCTGAGCCAGTATATCATGGTGGTTAATGTTGCATGTTATATCAGGTAGGTTGATGTTCACTTTGTACTGATTTCATCATACTTAATCATATACTTGAAATCGATGGGATCTCAGATCCATAACTTCTCCCTTATTAGACTAGTAGTAGAATACATCCGTCGCAACAATGAGTGATTTTAGTAATGCATCACATGACTTGTTTTAGAGAAAGCGTTTGATTTGTTTTTAAATTATTATTTACTGTTATTATAATTTTATGGAGTATCAGATACAACGATGCTTTGGTATCATTTTAGAAGGTGCCTTAAGGATTGATGCTAATGTTTCTGTACATAAAGAAGGAGAAAGTTTAGGAATCCGCACTGAGACAAAAAATATTGGCAGCATCAGAGGTGTGTCTCATGCTGTAAATTATGAAATCAAAAGACAGGTAGATCTAAATTATATGTGTATATAATATCTAAAGCAGGAGTCCCCAACTCAGTGCCCACATGATGTCCATATGCTCACTTCAAAAATTATGTCTGCCTAACCTAATCTGCAACAGTGAAAACCTTTTTTGTTCAACTTGTTTTTAAAAATAAAATATCTGATAAGTAATTCATTGGAAATAGATGTGTTTCTTTGAAAGTATTCATTTTTTATTATCATAGCATCTCAACAATATTTTCTAGTCATCAATTTTTACTTTCGCTTACGTATATATATAATATATAGTAAGGGTAAGTATTGCGATCGTGAAAATTTTCGAATCTCAGTTTTCAACGGAAATACATGTTTTGAGGTCCCCTCAGTTCAAACAACCAGTTAACAGTCTAGCTCATAAACAAAAAGTAGTACGAAAGTGATATTAAGTATTTAAGGTTTTTATATGGACCGGATGTAACAACAACTTTTTCGTTAAAATTGGCTAACCGGAAGTGCCACTTTATATGAACGCTGAAACACATTTTTTTTTTACTACTTTCAAGAATGAAAATTAAATTACTAAGTTGGTAATTTAACATTCAACTTATCTGATCACTAGTTTCGTGCTCTTATGCCCATCTCCTTTTTTTTTTGTTTTAGATTATGTTATTTTAATCATTTTCTGCAAATTATGAAGCATTGACCAATGCAATGCAGTACAAAGATAATATTATTTTTTTTTTTATTTCTTATAAATCAATTTTATATTTTGTACACGTTTTTAATTGATTATTAAATAATTATTTATTTTATATAAGAACTAAGGGAGTTACCTCTGTCTGCCCAATGGCGGACCAACCCCCATTTTACAAATTATACAACTGTTCATTTAATTGTACTACTCGTTACTCAAATTGTATAACTGTAATTTACATGTATTCTGTATTGCATTATCACATTATGATTGTATTATTTTTTCAATATAGTGTAAGCAGGAAAAAAATATATTTCAAGTCTTTTATTCCAGCATTTTTTATAAAACATTTCTATATAATAGAGAGAATCCCTGCATTTTAATTTTTTGGGATTGGAAAATAAAATAGGACTTTTTAGAGAAAAGAAAGATATAAGGAATATGTTTTCATATGTCAAAATTATTCTTTTTTATCATTATTAACAATTTCATTCAAGGAAAAATCTAGGAAAAGCACAAACAAATAGAAGGCTACTGTATTACTATTTAGCTAGAAATGTGCCTTCAAGTAGAAAAAGTTGGGGACTCCGTTTCTAAAGAATTATTTTTTTGCCTTATATTTTAATTACTATATAATTTATTATTAATATAATTAAATAAAATAACACTAATTGCTTTGTCTTTAGTAACCAAACTATTGAAACTACTTTTTGTTTTATACGTTATAAAACATCTATTATACATTAAGTGATAGCTGTAAGATCCTTGTTAACCGTTTGATGAAAATTCCATTCCTTTCCTTTCAACTCATTTCCTTTCTTACTTTTTATAATATTTTAAATTTAAATCTTTTATGGTATTTAACTTTTATACTTTGTTGTACTGAATCAAATTGTACAAGTATATAGCTATTTTATTTTTTAATATTTTTTATTATGTCCCAGCTTAATCTTATTTTAAATCTTAAAATAGTCTCATTAAAAAAAAAAACTCTAATAATAAATTTAAATTGAAAACCTGCGTTTCATAGGTATTACTAAAAAAAAAAATCTAATTCAAATACTTATGTAATGATATATGTAAATTAAACAAACCAAACTTGAGTTACTTATGCAGTGAGATATATAAAATAAGCTAACGAAAATAAGACTTAGTGTGTAAATTAAGTCATTTTCATCTAGTATTAGAGGTCTAAACATCCACTTAAAGAAAAAATTGAAGTTAGATGTAATTTTTTCGGATTTATCTTATTAAATATCTATAGTAAGGTCTATTTTTTGACACAACTTGGTACTTTTTTGTAATGCAAAACGATATATCCAAAATATATAAATATTTACAAAACTATAATATTCTAAGTAACCAGTTATGTAAAATATCAACTGGGATGAGAATGACTATCGGGATGAGATTTGTCGAAAGCAGCAAAAATGTGAATTTTAATCCCAAAATATTGCCAGTAATTTTTATCTTCTTTTGCTATATTATATATTATGTGAGCTTTGATTCTCATCCCAGTTGATGATGTTATATAAAAATGGTTACTTAAAATATAGTTTTGTAAATACTTATATATTTTGGATATATCGCTTTGCATTACAAAAAAGTACCAAGTTGTGTCAAAAAATAGCCTTTACTATAGTAATATACACCTTTATTGGAAGTGGGTAAAAATGATTTAAGAAATTAATGTTGAACAATTAAAATGCAAGCTAATCTAGTTCTACTAGTGCAGGGAAAAGAAAATGGCTACTCTGTAATTTCCCAAGAAGGGAAATCCCAGAGGAGAGGGACAAAGCTTTTGGTTTTTGCAAGCAGTTGTGTGACTGCAGTGAAGAGATCCTATCCTGGCTCGAGTGGGCAAAACCCAGTAATAATTTTACCATCTTAGAAGATCTTGTTTGGCAGGGAGAATAGTTGCAAGAGAGAGGATTTCCCAGAGAGCTTGAGTTGAGTGGAAGAATAGTGTTACCATTTTGGGGTATATGTTTAGCAGAACATAAGAAAATGTGTGAAGAAAAATGAGTTCAGTGTCACAAATGAAGAAACATATAATATAGAAAAAGGTTAGCTTGCCAATCCATATTTGACTTTATTTTAAAATCAACAGTGTTTAGTATAGTTAATTTTAGTTTGTCTGAGTTGATCTGATTGTCAGTAACCCACACCCGAGATAAATATATATATTAATACTCTTATAATTTTGTTTATTATTTTTTTTAACCTCTTATTTATTTAGGAAGTATCCCAATGGTAAGAAGTGAGCTTCCGAGGTTATATTATTATTATTTGTCAAATATAAGATAAATGTTACATTATAGGTATTTAATATGATAAATCCGAAAAAATTACATCTAACTTTAATTTTTTTTGCCAGTGGATGATTAGAGACCTCTAATACTAGATGAAACTGACTTAAGTTAGCTTATTTTATAATCTGAAGATGGTATACAAGTTTGATTTTTCAATAATTTTATTTGAACTTTTCCATGCAATAAAAAATGAATATTTTACAATGTTGAATAATTTTTTTATGGTGGCAAAACATAATGTGTTATGGTTATCTCCTACGGATTAGTTTACAGTTCTGATAATGATACAAGTCCCTCTATGAAGGAAAGGTTTTTTTTTTTTTTCAAATATTTTCTTAGTTCTAAACGAAAACATTAGTAAATTTTCTAATACTATTTAAAACTGTTTTTATTTGTGGGGGTGAGAGAGAAAGGGAAGGGAGTGTTTCTAGTGTCAAATGGATTTTAGGCCATTCTCATCCTCCATGGTTGTAAGTTAAATTTGGAGAAAAACCTAAGGACTTATGATTGATTTAGTTGACAGTTGGAAAAAATATTCTCCAAAAAAATTAAGTTCTAAAGTTTTTTTTTTTAATGTGATTTTATAAAATTCATATTTAAGAGTTTTAAAAGATACTAAAATAGAATATGACAGGCTTTTTCTAAGCAAAAATTTACTTTATCTACTTTACTAGTAGCCGTTTTGGATTTAAAATTTATGATACTTTATAGATCATTTAATACTGGCAATATATTTTTGTTATTCTACATGAAAAAATAAATCAATTGATATATAGTTTCCTAAGGCTCCTGTTGGAACTTGGACATTAGGCCCATTGGAACTAATGTCAGGATATGTATCCAATATATTCTCATGTAGAATCATAATTTTTTTTTTTTTAAATCGATGACTCACTGTGACCACTTGTTGTCAGAGTTAGTTTATTGTAAAACTATATCAACGGCACATATTAGTTAAATGGCTATTTTCTTACTATTATTTTGTGGCTTAAACAGACAATTAATAAATATTTGAACCATCTCTTCTCAAATTATTGGGTGTTTTGGCACTCATGTTTTTTATAAACAGTGAATACAGATGAACTGAGAGCTAGATTAATCTGTAGGTCGGTAGACATGTACTAGCACTTCAAATTCAATGCATCATGAATTCCCGACACTCAATTCAAATAAAAGAAGTTTCATTCCTTTATTTAATTAAAAGAAAAAAAATGCAAGTGTGGGATAGAAATCAAAGTATATTGCTTCTTAACTTGTTTTTTGTTTTTTAATGTTGCATATGTGAGAAAAAATATTGTGGGTTTATTGTAAAAAGTCACTGAGTAATACTTCCTAAAATTAAATCACTTAGTTCTTTGATGAATTTTCTCTCAGCTTAAATTAGAACAATACAAATACAATAAAATAATATAATTAGAACTTGGTGTAACTATTTTTGATACATAAAAGGGTTTGTGCCATTTTGTTGCACTGACAGTGTTTTGGGACCAATAAATAAAGTTTAAACTGTACTTGAAAATTTGGCTCCATAAAAAATTTACTTGGTGACTTCTTGCAATAAACAGATGATATATTAATAAGTACTAATTATAGTAATAATTCATTAATGTAAACATTTATTAATACAACTTATAGAAAAAAAGTTTATGAATTTTATTTAATGTTTATTTGACTTTTTTAGATAGATCTTCTTGAGTCGGGAGGTATGGTAACAAATGAAACCAGAGCTTGGGATGCATTTCTTGATGAAACAGTGCCAATGAGGGACAAAGAAATGAAACAGGTTTTTTGAGTTGTTTTTTTTTATTAAAAAAAAGAGAGTGAAAGCATTGAAAATTATTCCACACAATTATAACATTATTTATTTTATAAAGTAGTATTTGTTTTTTCTCTATTACACTACATTTTTAGAAGATAAAATTTAAGTTTTTTTTTTAACAAGAAAGAAAAAAATATGCCTAATGTCTAGTGCATGAAATTCTTTAGAATATGATTTGCCATACAGTACATTGTTGTTCTTTTTTGAAATATTTCAAGTATCTTTCCTCTTCATGATTTTGCTTCATTAATTCTAATTTTTTTTCTACTAACCAAGTTAGATAGGTATGTTTGGATGAATTTTTTCCTGTTTACTTTTAAAACATGGTGAAAGAAGTGTAGAGCTGATAATGAAAAAAGCGTCTCTCTTAGTTTCAGTTTTTACATTAAATCTAAATTTTTAAAAACACAAAGAAAGAATTATCTAAGATGTAATTGAACAAACAAAAAAAAATAATAATTAGGGCATATTAACTTTTAAATGTGGTTGAAATGAAACTTTTTTGATGTGGCAGTTATTAAGACTAGTACACCCTAGTGAAAACTCTCACATTAGATAGCTATCCTTCTCTCTAATGCATTGAATATATAAGCGAAATAAGCGAAACATGTTTATTCGTATGTACATAATATTACCAAAGTAGTCTATTGAGAATAAGAAGAGACTGCATCCACAATGAAAACAGACATTTCTTCTGAAATAAGCATACAGTCATACATGATTCACAAATTAGGATATTTAACAAAATAAAAGTTAAATTAATATTATTATTTGAGAAGGAGTTGATCGGGGGGTGTGGTCAAATTAATACTAAATTAAATAATTAGAATTATTTAAGGTCGGATTTATTCAAAGGTCGGACAAGGGGCAGTTTTCCAGGAGGATTGGAATATGGAGTTTTCAATGAAAAGTTGTAGATATAATAAAGATCAGGAAGGCTGGATTTTATTAGTTTTACTGGAATATTATCGGGACCATAATCATTAGTGTGGGATTTTAGGATATAGTGAAAATTCATTAAAAATAAGTAGACCAAGTTAGACTTAAATAGTGCATATTAATAATATAATTTACATTGATCAAGAAAAGATACACTTATGTATTTTGAACATTACAAATAGATGAATTCAATTACTATTCTGATCTATACTACAATAAAAAACATCTGCCAAGTAAGGTCAGTGCAGCTTCCTCACTGTTTTCATTTGCTAAAAAATATCTATATTAAAAGGTCTAAAAATTTTCTTATCAGAATAAAATCTCTGGAAGAAGCTGTTTTCGTAAATTCAATAATCCCTTAACATATACGGGCCTGATATCCACGAGTTTTGTTTATCAGCAAATACTAAAATGCGAAAAAGTTCCGCATTTACAGATTGCATATTTGATAATTCACAATTAAAGAAAAAAAAAACCCAGTGCATACTGAATATGTATCTCCCTACTGTTAGTGCAAATGACTTATATAAAAATTGAGTGTTTTACAGGAGAGCAATAAAAAAAAAAAATAATTATTTCTTTATCGTTTATTATTATAATTTTATATTTTATTACCCTCTAATTAAGCTGGAATATAAAAATATGAGGCACAATTTTGATATTTAAGGAGAAAATCGAGACCTCGAAGAGCTGGTTGAACTTCAATGGAAATAAACACAATCACAAATAAAACGGCTTTACAAATTCAGAGTAAAAATTACTTTATATTTACTGAAAATTACAGGAAATCTATGTTACAGCGATTAGTGTCATGCCATTAACATTTGGAATCGACCAAACAATACAGTATAAATTAACTTTTTGAATAAAACCTAAAATTTTATAACCCCATAACAATATTGTAATAACCTATCTCTCACTCAATATGATCAGTGCCTTCCACATTTCACAGCCATTATATAGTTAACAATTATTTATATTAATTTTAATTATTAAATGAAATTGATACTAAGTAATTTCTATACTGTTCTCAAAATTTCCTCCAAGTTTGTGTCAAATCAAATGCGCCGTTTTCAAACTATAGGCATATCAAATAACATTTTCTGATCTGAAAGCGGAAGTTTTTTTAGTTTTTTTTAATGTTAGATAGAATTTGATAAAATTGATGCCTATTTCATTTGACCAATCCCTAAATTCCCTCCAAGTTTGGGGGAAGTTGACAGAATTCAATCAAATTGATCCTAGTTTTTTACAAATGCCTACCTTTTATCCAACTTTGAGCCAAATCGAACAAGCTGTTTATGAAATATTGGCATATCTACAAAAATGTGTTTGCGCGTGCGTAAGCGGAAGTGCTACTTAGAATTTAATAAAATTGATAAGGGACCATCTAAACACTAACCCGCGCAATCCCTGAAAATCGGATAAACGCTAGTAGGTGATTGATATCGATACATCGATTTGATTACAGACAGACAGATACCGAACCAAATTTGATCCTTGATGTCTGAAACGTAAAATGCGAGTGAACATTTTTGATTCTCAGCACGAATACAATGCTTAGTGAGGAAGCAAAAAAAAAGTGAAGAGGTTTTGTTAATACACTAATTTCAGAAACTGCCTCTCCAGTTTGAACAATTTCTTTTTTTTTTTTTCGAAAAGATCTTTTATTTAGGAAGCTTTTATAACATCCTCCTGTAATCCATAGGAATAGACTATGAACACCAATCATTTGGGAGAACTTGAGGCAACCACACAAGCATAGCATAGCTTCTTATACTACAAATATGTGTAGTATTCATAAATGTGTACAGGGACAAACTTTAGAGGTCTAAGGGGGAATGAAGCGTCACATATGGCTAAAAGTGGCCACTTAGCCTCTCCTTCCCAATTCCACTATCACCTGTTGATGGACCCTAAAGAGAAGATTGTTTTTCCCTCAGAAATGAATGTTTTTGTCCCACAAATGTCACCTTGTCTAGATCAGGTCGGGAAAAAAAGCAGTATTTACTTGACTACATAGTAGGTATATTCCAAAGGGATAAAACTAAAAATATAGTTTAAGCTGTATTTCTGTGTCACTGTAATTTTTCTTTTTATATGCTATTGTAAAAAAAAAAACTTATAAAGCTGTCAAACTTTCTGGTTCATTGTTTATTAAATTTCTATGTTATTCATAACTAAGTTGTTTTAACTTGTACATTATCGAAGGAACAAAATGAGAAAACAGTTGCTTAATCTATCTTCTGGTTTTTGGCCTTTACGGCTGACTGGTCCCTTGCTTACTATTGAGGCATTTGTTGTTGTATAATGCTTTTCTGATGGATTTCTCAAAGCTCCATGTTCTGCTCATCTTAACCTCCTTGCCTTCATATCATGAGGTATTGATTGACCAGTTTCTGTAAGCAGTTCTTTATTGATCTTTTCCCTCCTTATGTTACTACTCTGATACCCAGATCACTCCTATTGTGTGGAGTATTTTTCCTTCAAATCTTTTATACTTTGAAAATTTTAGAGTTTTTCAGATTTCAATACCTTCTGTCCTTGGTCATTCATTGAGCTTATTGTTGAGTCAAGATATTTGAATTTATCTATTCTCAAAATGATTTTCCTGTTCAGATCCTGTTATTTGCGTGGAATTTTCTTCTTAGTGTAATATATTTTATTTTACTTTCATTTACTTCATTAACTTGGTTGGTGTCATTAACCTAGTATGATTTTGTTCAAAAATCATATTGGTTTTGTTTTAATTTGAATTTTAAAATCAGAGAATCTTTCAAATTGATCCATTTAAAATATTTTATACTAACATTGCTTACAATTCAAATGTTTAATAATTATAGTTTTTAAAAATAAATTCTATTTATATATATTTTTTTAATTTTGTTAATTTCCTTTTGTTTAGGATTACAGATTTATGCCTGAACCAAATCTACCTCCATTAAGACTTGACTCAATGGAAAATACTGAAGAAAATATAAGTGTTTCGAAGTTAAAACAGTCATTACCTGAATTACCAGCAGAGTCCAGGGAAAAACTTGCAAAATCATTTGATTTATTGCCAGAAACAGTCATTCAGCTAGTTGTATGAGTTTTTCAAAATTTAGTGTGCATATACACATGTATCATAATATTTTTTTTTTCATGTCAATATATTGTTATAATAGGTTAGTTTGATTATTCTAGATAATTTTTCTCTTTCATTCTTCAAATCTTGTCCATCTTCATTTTGTTCTTCCAAGATCTCCACGATATCTGGACTGAGGGAAGCCTTTTTTTTTTTTTTTTTTCCCTTGCTTTTTAGGCTATACAGGGATTTTCCTGGACCAGGAGGTAAGAGCGGGGAATTGATGCCTAGTTAGAAGATCCCCATGGCACCTGGACGCAAACTCGCAATTATGTTATTAGGTTACTTGGTTATCAGGTTGCCGGGAAACGTGCGGTGCTGTGCACACTTGGCCCGCTTGTCCACCCTGCCCCTTGACTGAGGGGAAATTTCGAAAAGAGAAGAATCCAACACATAAAAAGGGTGACATCTTGCTATGCGAAAACTGTTGTGGAATCTTCCTCCTACCAAGTGCTTATAAAATTCTCTCCACAATCCTCTTCAATAGAATGTTACCATATGCTGAAAGAGAAAGTGGAAAGTATCAGTGTGGCTTTCTCAGGGGTCAATCAATTATCAACCAGATATTCACTCTCTGGATACTTCTAAAAAAAACGAAGGAATATAGACTGCCTACTCATCACATATTTGTGCATTTTAAACGGGCTTACCATCATTCAATCAGAAATATATAAAGCGATGCTAAAGTAATGCTAGAAACATATAAAGTAATGCTTCGTTCGGAAAAATTTTTGCAGGGATGTCCACCGATTTCTCTACAGACATGGGTGTACGACAGGTATGTCTGGTTTTTAACCTGAGACTAAAGAAGGCCATAAGAAATACCAAGATTCAGACATCTGATACCTTTATAAATCATTTCTTCCGATTCCTCGGATATGCTGATGACATTGATTGATTGAGGAAGGTCAACAGAGGCTGTGAAAGATGCATTTAAGCACTGAAGAATACTGAAGTTAAAATGTGGCTACTGATAAACTTCAGTAAAACCAAATACCTTAATGCGGATCCCATAGGGTCAAGTCAGATAACCAATATAATAAAGAAGGCCAGGAAATTGAAAAAGTTCAGGAGTTCATGTACCTTGGATCACAGATGAATGGAATGAATGATATTGGTACAGAAATCAAAAAAAGAACAGTAGCTGCAAACCGATGCTATTTCACACTTTATAAACATCTCTGAAGCAAGTTTAATATATTGAAGCCCTCAAAAATACGGATTTATAAAGGTATTGATTTATAAAGAGCCCTCCTTGATATCTGTAATTATAAGGCCAACACACAATGACAATCAGCACGTGGGCTGAAGTCCATTAGCTAATCTAAGAAATTGGTATGTTATGCATAAGGAGAGTTTGTACTCAAATAGTGGTATAGGAAGGATCTTTGGGTATTAACTTTAATCTACTTTCATCTTTATGTAAGTATGAAGTGTATTTAAAATGTAAATAGAATTGTTATTATTTGAAATTAATTTTGCTTATTCATCTACAATAATGTTATAGTAATCCTAATTACCTTAAGATTACCTTATGTTATAGTAATTACCTTCAAAGTAATCCCAATAGGTATTATACTTTTTCCTTCTTCTAAAACACTTTTGGAACTTGATCTTTGAGAGCTCTCTCAGTGATGTGCACTTAACCTCATCTATGCTTGAAAAATCATAATGTTTTAACTTTTTAACGTTATTTTTATTTTGGAAATAGGAAAAAGTCATATCAGGTTAATATGACTGGTCATCATTACAGTTTTCCTAACGAGCTATTTTCTTCAGACTGCTTCTCTGATTGTGATTCGGCAATCATTTAGATCCTTATTCATTCCTTTCACTTGTTCTGTGTTTTTATTGGTTGTTGAGTTGCTGGGACACCCAAAACGCTCATAATCATTAACATCTTTTTGGAATTAATCAATCCATCTTGTAAACATTTGGACCACTCATAAACCATCATTTTACTGATGGTAGACTCATTGAAAACAATATTCAACAGTGCAAAACCTTTTATAGAAAAATTTTTGCAAATTTTTTGATCCATTTTTTTAACAAACCGAAATTCGATACTCACAAGCAAGCACACCTAACCTTCTTCATAACTGACAAGATACTAATAACCCAAAATGACTGCTACCATTTTAAGCCATGTTTACCGATATAACTTAAAATTTTTTCCAAAACTGCCTAATACATCTCACAAAATATAAAATTTCCTGTTACTTTTTGAACACACTTCCTAGATTACTTATCCAGAAAAATACTTCTATAAATTTATTAGGATATCAGTTAATTTTATCATGAGACCATTTATAGTACCTCTGTATGTATTAATGAACTGCTGGCATGTGTAAAGTTATTACTTTCACTTACCTATTTATGCGTTGATAGTATTGCAATCGTGAAAATTTTCTAATCTGTTTTCAACAGAAATACACGTTTTGAGGTCCCCTGAGTAACCAAATTCACAAAACGGTGTGTGTGTGTATGTGCGTGCATGCGTGTGTATGGGAGGGTCTGTGCATGTGGTTTTGTATAAAAGAGTTTTGTTTCTGTGATTGGAATGGGTGGTTGGCTAAGGACTGGGTAAGATTTAATGTGAACTTCTTCGTTCATGCTTTTAGACAATGGGAAAAGAAGAATATTGTTAATCTTTTTAATGTTTTTGTGTAACTTACGGTTGTAGGTTAGATTACAATTATCTTAAAAAGTCATGATATAATTTGATGTTTTTATTTTTCTGTTTAGTAATTATATCACTTTTTTCAGAATATAGAAGATCTATTTTTGATTTTCAACTCAATAATGAAGGAGAATAAAAACAGAAATGCTAAAACTGTTGCTACTATTTTATTAGTAGAACTTATGACATTAATAAATAAGGGTTTGACTGATTTCAATGATGGGTAAGTTTAGAATTAACAAAATTTATTCAGGTTTATGAAATAAAGCTTGGTATAATATAGTAAGAGGGAGCGGGGTCGCTCAGTGGTAGGACACTAAGCCTCTAATGCCTAAGGTCCCAGTTTCGAATCCCGGCTCATGGCAGAAAAATTATTTATTCTGTTTCATTCGCTGTGGAGCGACCCTGGCGTAGGGAGACCCTCCTGGGGCACACCCAGCCTCTACAAAGTGGGTATGCTTAATTAAATAATTGATTAAGGGGAAAACTGGCGGTTGAGCGTGATCCTGGCCCGATCCCCTCCCTGCACAACCATTTGCCTTCAAACAGTACTTTCCCTAAATAGTACTGCACCCAAGGCCCTTCATGGGTTGTAGTGGTACAGATTTTTTTTATAATATAGTAATGAATGTTTCATTAGTAGAAACAACCATGCCCTAGAAAATATTTTTAAATAATTATAATAACAGTTACTTTGAATGATAATCTTATTCCTCTTTTCTTTTTTTTTTTCTTTTTTTTTGTAATTTTTTTTTTTGTTTCCTCTTCCCTGCAGGATTATTGACAACACCTTCAACTTAAACTCATAAAGTTTCATAGTTTAAGTATTCAATCGTTGTAGTTTAAATTCTTTTTTAGATTTCATCCCATATCCAATTCTCATATGGTTTTGAATGTAGGCCAGTCTTGTAAAGTATGTTTTATTTTTATTTGGATATTACAACTCTCACAGGTTGGAGGTTCAAGCAAATTGGCATGTAGAAACTCAAAATGGGAAATCCGTAATAGGCGGAGGACAGTTGGGCCCAATCCCTTAATGCCCACTATGATGAATTCCAGAAATATTTCCCAGATAGTTTTTATCACCCTAATAGCAGTATGTGAAACCTGTCTAAAACTCTTTATTCCTTAGTTCCAAATTTCCCTACCCAATTACTCTTTCCTACGTCATGACAGATCTGATCGCACAGGAGGTGGGTGGTTTCAGACTATTATACATGATAGTCTTAAGGCCTAAATCCTTTTATAGTCTCCCTCTCATGACTCCTCTCACATTGAATATTTGTTTGTTGAAATTTCTTCTGTTTCCTCTCCTGTATTATATGTTGTAGTCTACTGCTCTCCTCATGCACCATTTGACCATCTTTTAGAATCCTCCCCTGTCAATCTGGTTTCTAGCTACTCCAATGTCATAATCTCCGCTGAATTTAATGTAAATATGCTCTTAGAATCTTCTGAAAAATACTTCCTTACTGACCTTATATTTTCTCTTAATCTTTATCTTGTTCCTTATTCTCTCACTCATCTCTCTCCCTTCAAAATCCATTCCTCCTCTCAACACACCATACCCTTCCTATCATCACATAACCTTATCCAAATTTCGTACGGTCTACCAGCAAAATCATTTATTCCCAAGATAGTTTCATATCACTATTTAAACCTCCTTTCCTGTGAATCCCTTCAACCTGACCTTGATTCTGTCCAATGAGATATCGTATTTTCCTATAACTCCATTGACCCTATGGTGTCCACGCTTGCCTCAAACCTACAATCCATATTAGACATCCATGCTCCTCTGAAAAACAGAACTTTACGTCGTCCCATTGCCCCTTGGCTGACACTTAAAATGAAGGGATGATAAAGAGGAGGGATGCAGCAAGGCCCAAATACCGCCAAACCCATTGACTATTCATCTTTCAAACAACTTCGTAATGGAACCCAATCTGCAATCCAACTTGCTAAATCTAATTACTTTCATAATGTCCTTTCCAATGCTCCTGATTCCAAATCAAAATGGAAAATACTTCAATAAACTATTCCTACCAGAATCCAATAACCTCATTTCCTTCTCTGTGACTCCTAATGATCTTAATGACCATTTCTTATCTTTTGCTTCTAATCCTTCTTCACAATTTGCTTCTAATGATATTGAACATCACAATTTTAATCCTGAAGACTTATTTTTTCCCTATGTGGCCAGGGAGTGTGGGCGGGGATTTAAAAGGCCGGCACCGAGACACGAACTCGTGACTATATTTATATTTTTGATTCATATATCTGGTTGCCGGGCAATGGTGGTGCAGTGCACACGCTTTAGCCCATTCGTCCACCCCGCCCACTATTGAACGACGAACTACTTTCCACTATCCTGAAATCCCACACCAATGATTATGGGCCTGACAATATTCCAGTAAAACTAATAAAATCCAGCTTTCCTGTCCTTATTCACTTACTTTACCATATCTACAACTTTTCATTGTAAAATTCCATGTTCCCATCTTCCTGGAAAAACTGTCCTAGTCCAACCTTTGAATAAAACTTCTAACCCATCCTCACTGCACGACTTCCATCCTATTTTTCTGCTCTAAAACCTTTCAAAACTGCTGAAATGCCTTGTCTAAAAACAACTTTCAATTTCCTTGAAGAATGTTTCCTCATCAATCCATTTCTTCGACCTGGCTACTCAATGAAATATGCCCTCCTTAAAATAACCCATGACCTCCAAAACTCCACTGAACACCAAAAGCTTACTATCCTCACCTTTCTAGATTTTTCCAAAGCGTTTGATAAAGTTGACCATAACATCCTTCTTACTAAATTGCAAAATCTTTCTCTGTCCAACATTGTCTTGCAATCGTTCAAATTCTTCCTCTCAGATCGGTCTCAGTATATGGTCGTCCCAGGTCAACCTCCATCTAAGACACTTCCCCTCTCCTGTGGGACACTTCCTCTTAATCTCCCACTCTGTTTGCCATTTACACCAATGACCATCACCTCCTGATCATTCCCAATACCATATTTATGCAGACGACTTCCAAATATACCTGTCCTTCCTGCCTTCGCACCTATTACCAGCCACAAAAAAGCTTCAAGAAGACAAATAGAATATGTGACTGGGCAGGAGCTAATGAGCTGAAGTTGAATGAAGAAAAGACGAAGGCAATCCTAGTAGGATCCAATCTTATCCTTAAAAATGTTCCTAACATTCCAACCCTGGTCTTACATGATAATCCTATCAAATTTTATTTCACCATCAAAAACCATGTATTCAATGTCTCTCGTCTTTTCTACCTTAAAACATCTACATAGCCTCCGTCACCTTTTCCCTTTTGAAACCAGTAGACTCCTGGTCACCTCCTTAATATTCCCCACTATTGCTGCATGCCATATGGATAGAGGCGTCTCTGGGGATCTCGAAGCGAAACTAAAAGGTTTGATAAACTACTTTGTATGATTCATCTTCGGGATCCCAAGGGACGTCTCAGTTTCCTGATTTTATGAAGAGTGAAAGTTGCTTTTTCCTTCCTACTGTCATAAGTATTTCCTGCCATCCTTCCTCTTCCAACTCATTCACTCCCGCCACCCCTCATACATCTCCGACCTCCTTCAATTTAAACCCTCTGTTCATTCCTGCAATACCCGCTCACGGTCTTAAGATTTATATATAATGGCCCACTGAACCGCTGCTTTCGATAGATCTTTCACGATGGAACTCCATCTCTCTCTACATCCGTTGCTCCAATATTTTCCCTACTTTTAAATACTGCCTATTCAAGCACTTCCTTTCCATCCAATCCTTATAAAATTGTAAATAGAAATTTCTGTAAATATATATATATATTTATTTATTAGTTTTTTTTTTCAATTATTTTCACTTCATGTTTCTTTCATTTTTTTTTTTCTTAATAGATTTAAGTTCGAAGATAATTTTTAGTTTATTTTGTAAATACATTTATATATCTCTGAGGCTCAAAAGTCCGCATTTCTGTCCTTGTTAATATTCTGAAGGGACTCGTCCCAGAATGAATAAAAGATTATTTTATATATATATGTAAATAAAGAGCGAGAGAGAAGATAGGTTGGGATGATTGGCTTTTTATGGTAGTTGTGAGTTTACTGTTGATCCTTCTTGTCGTCTACTTATTGTTGAACAGCTTTGTCTGCTTTCTTTATATCCATCTGTACAAAGACTTCTTAGCATTTAGACTGGTATCTTTCTTGTTTCATAAAATATTTATTTTATTTTTTTAGATGGAATAAATGCAGGAATGCTTAGATTTTATAAGCCTTATAAACTACTCAAAAATGAATAGGGATGTTGTTAGTTATGTATGATTTATTTTCCATAGAATTTCATTTTAAAATATATTGAAAATTAATACAAATAAGATTGTATTAATGACTATGGCTATGGGATATTTTATAAAAGGTATTTAAAAAAAAAAAAAAATTTTTTGTGATCTTATTACTTACTTGCTTCTGTGGCTCTAGAGCCCTCCATAACAACGCCTCTCCAATCCTCCCTATCAGCGCCCCGGCCCGGCTTCTCTATTGTCCAATTCCCATCTTCTGCAAATCGTCCTCCACATCATCAATCCATCTAAGTCTGGGCCTTCCTCTCCTTCTTTTACCTCCTGGTTTACCATATAATAGCCTTTTCGGGTATCTATCTTCACCCATCCTTTCTACGTGCCCAAGTCATCTTATACCGCTTGATTTTACATAAATGACTATGTCTGGCTCTTTATAGAGTTCTTGGAGTTCTCTATTGTTTCTTATTTTTCATTGGCCATTAGTACATATTGGCTCAAAGATCTTGTTATTATGATTGGGAATTGTAAGAATTTTATAAACTTTAATAATTTATGTAATTTCCTGTTACATTGATGATTACACTATCTCTCTGCACCTATTGATTATACTGTTTATAATATTGTCACTGATTTTGTGAGGAATTTCATATCATAAACATGATAATACTGCTCTTAGTTGCTGAAGGTTTAGAAGCTGCAAATGGTGGTCAAAAAGCCTTTTCTGCAGTGCATCCTACATGTGCTCAATGGGATTGAGATCTGGAGATAATATGGGCAAGGGGCAGATGAGAAAAGTCTGGATTTTCAAGACATTCATGAACAATTGTTCCCATATTAGGTTGCATATTGCCAAGAAAATGGAAATTTGTGCGAATTATGGCTCTTATTTGAGGAATGTATTTCACTATAATTTCTTGAACATAACAAACTGCTCTGGAATAGAGTCCATCATCCTGAGGAGGTCCTGGCCCATCACACTCTTACCTCTAGACTACATTGAAGAAAGCACAAACTGCGGCAGTTGATCCATCCCCAGTTCTTGGAAGACTTTCAACACCTATGATCTCTGTAAATAAAGAAATGTAACTTTTCTGTAAACGTAACAGTATTTCAATTTGTATCCTCATCTAGGCATTCACTGCACCATAGCCAGCAGAGTTGTAGGTGACTGCATTGGCGATATCTGATAATATTTTGAGCTTCTGGTTCATTCAATATGACTTCTTTCCATCATTGAACAGAATATTACTGGATTAAAATTGAAAACAACTGTTGCTTGGATGGAACATATTGTGAAGATTTTCATGTTGACAATACTGTAGGTATTATTAGAAATAAAGAATACTTGGTTACCAATAAGAGACTGCCTAATAAACATAAAAAACAAAATAGGATATTTTAATTAAAATAAATCAAGTAGAAACCTCCCTATTCATTTTCGAGTAGTTTATATCATTAAAAAAAAAAAAAAGATATTTCAAATGTAGATTTTGATATTGGTTCTTTTTCAATAATTTTAGAAAATTTAATGAAGTTAAATTAGGAAACATTGTGGATCTTATTCAATCAGGAGACATAAATATTAATATAGCCAAATTGGTCATGGAAGAAATTGCAAATGGGAACAACAATTCTCCTAAAGAGGTAATTTTATCTTAGATCTTGTTATTAAATTTATAAAACTATCAATAATGATCATTTTAATCCTTAGATTATTACAGCCCTGGGATTATGGCAAGTCAAGGATACTGATGAACTTACTCAGATTTGCATTAAGATAATTAAAGATAATCCTGAAATTGTTAATCAGTATAAAAAAGGAAAGAAAAAAGTTTTATTTGCCCTCCTAGGAAAAGTGGCATCAGAAACAAACAAAAAAGCTAAGATGGATGTAGTGGCTGAACTATTGAAAGAAATGTTGAAAGATTAATTTTCACAAATTTTAAAATCGATGAATGAATAGGATACAATTTATTAGGTTGTAATATTTTTACTTAATAAAACTTATAATTTTACCGTCACCAAATTATTCATTAATTTTTTTAACATGAAATAAGCGCAGACAACAATAACAAACATTTAGGAAGATAAAAAATCAGTAACTCCTTTAGTTAAATTAACATCAAAATTTGAAGCAGGAACCTTCACCATTATAGAACTAGGATGCTAAACACTACACTATAAGTGCACTTAAATTCTAAACAGGCCTTGCTTTGACAAGTCTTAAGGCCCCAAAAAAAAAAAAATTGATATTTCGAAAATTTATTTGAAACAAAAAAATTATATATACACAAAAATCAGTATAAGTAAATTTGTTTTCAAGTCAATATTTTCATGTAAACATTGTTTGTAATATGTACAAACAATTGAAGGGAAACGATGGAGTGGATTGCTGGAAGAAAGTGGCAGGATTCCTAGAGACCTCCCTAGAGGGCAAGCCGTGGCATGCTTTAGAATGCTGACAGGCCAGGATTTCCTTCAGAAGCACCTCCACCGCATCAGTGTAAAAGATAGCCCGACATGCCCTCTATGTTCCTTAGACATAATGACAGGAGAACATCTGGATACATGCCCTGCATTACAGGACAGCTTTTATGCTCGGAGAGCAAAATTGTATTGGACTGCAAGAGCACGCATGGCTAACGAAGCAGGCTTGTAGGAAAAAAAAAAAAAAAAAAATGTAAACATTCATAATCCTTTATTATTAAGTAAGCTCATTATATTAAGTTTATTCTCAACATGAGAAACAGTCCTTGTTTTTTTCTTTGGAGGCAAAAGCGGAAAACTTTCTAATTAAAATCTGCAATAAACTGTGAAGCTCGAAGGGGATAATGTTATGGCTTGGGATTGCGTGATTAATGTAGGTGAACTAGCAATTATTAATGGGATAATGATTGCTGAGAAGCATGTCGACGTATCATCACCTCACCACAGTGTGTGGCACTGACTACTGGCAGTTGTTCTGTTTTGAGAGAATTGGACGGAGCATATTTAATTGGCAGTATGATGTATTCTCCTTACTGCTTTGACCCGACCTCTGTCTCTAGAAGCAGTAAAGCTGTTGGTAGTACGACAGTTCTAGATTATGTTTTCTACTATTGGGCGATAGTCGATAGCTGGATACTATCGATAATTTGATAATATTGATAAAACTCTATAAATAATCTAGTCACTCAAGGAGATGCAGACATAAGAAGGATAAGATTATGACCAGAACAATTTTATATTGTTACCTTCTTAAACTGAATTCTTTAATTACTTACCTTAAAAGGCTGTGTATACTTCTTTAATTTTTTTTTTTTTTTTTGATAAATAAATACAAAGTATTGCAAATATTCAAGAAAATTCATGAAGCTCTAAGTATTAAAATTGTATAAATAGACAAACAATGAAAAATGTTAATTGACCAGAAAATATATAAGCGTAAAATATATAATTATTGCCTAAAATAATCTTTTGAATTAACTATTTGGTATCAATAATCATAATTATAAAAAAATTTATGTATTAGAAAAATTATGTAAATACTGGTAAGATTTTTTGTGGAAAAACAAAGAACCATTCCTGGAAGGTTCCTCATTTCTCCCTATTTATTCCATGTAGGTGCTGTAGGAGGTTCTTGGTCGCTTGCTTCTTCTTCTTCCCATCAGTCTTACCTCCATTGTTTTAATTGGGTTTCTATGATGATCTATATGGCAGAAATGGATATACCACCTCAGTTACCTCTTCTCAAGAGCTTATGCCAACTGCTGCACATTAATTAATTTATTTATTTGGTAGTTCATACATTTCATAACATAATAAAAATCCAGCAATTCCTCAATTTTTAATGCAATTTGGTGCTACAGTCACCTCTTGGAATCCAAGAATCATATTAAAAAAACATACTATCATTAAATTATAATATACTAATCATTGCATTTGCATAAGGGAGTTGGTTAGCTCAGTGGCAGGGTACTGAGTTTCCAATGTTATAGGTCCCAGGTTCGAACCCCGGCTCATGACAGAAAATTTATTTATCTGTTTCATTGGCCGTGGGGCAACCGTGGGTAGGAACACCCTCCTGGTGCACACTCAGCCTCTATAAAGTGGGTACCCTTAATTAAATAATTAATTAAGGGAGAAAACCTGGCGGTTGAGTGTGATCTAGGACAAATCACCTCCTTGCACAACCATTGACCTAGAAACAGTGCTTTCCCTAAATAGTACTGAACCCAAGACCCTTCATGGGTTGTAGTACAGGTTTTATTTATTTTTGCAATTACATACATATAGCAGCTGTATCGATAAAAATATAAAAGAAAAAATATATATATATATATTCATATACATACATAAAATATACACTATATATAAAGTAATTTTAAAAACTATGGAAGTAGTAACCCATCCATAATATAAGTAATACTATAATGCATAAGTAAATAAAAATAATATATATATATATATATATATATATATATATATATATATATACTAGCACGCCCGTGCGAAAAATTCGCACAGCATATTGTTTTCAAATGCCAAATTAATAAGAAAATATAATAATGCAACATATCAAAAGATAAAGAAATCAATTGTTACTTTATCGATAAATATAATGACAAAGGAAACAAATATTAATTTAAATCTTCATTAATAATTGGAACCAAACATTTTTTGCATTTACATACATATATCAGCTGTGTCGATAAAAATATAAAAGAAAAAAATATATATTCATATACATACATAAAATGTACACTATATATAAAGTAATTTTAAAAACTACGGAAGTAGTAACCCATCCATAATGTAAGTAATACTATAATGCATAAGTAAATAAAAATAATATATATATATATAGAATAGAACTTTATTCTGGAACTAAGTCCCCTTAGAATAACAAAGATGAATTAATACAAAATAAAATACCAATCTGGCCAAAAACTAACTTAAAAAAATTCTAACATAATATACATTATTTAAAAAGTAGTATGTAATCACTAAGAAATAAACAAAAAAAATATACACATATATAAACACACGCACATATATATACATACACACACATACTCATATATATACATACATACATATATAAATGAACATACAATCTTCTCCAAATTTACTTATTATTACGATAAAAAAAAAAAAAGACAGAAAAGAAATTACATATCTATATATACATAACTGCACAATTTATAAATAATAGACTATCTAATAGAAACATAATTTAATACAAAATGTAATAATATTTACAGTGATTCATAAAATAATAAGCAAACACTAAGATAAAATAAAATCTCAGGAATAATTGTGGTATAAAGGTAAAAAAGGAACTATATATACGTACTTACTCATATTGCTACACAGTGAGACAAAAAGTATAAAATATATACATAAAAGAAAAAGCACAACCTGAGGTGAAGAGAAATAAAAATAAATAGTAAAAAATCATTGCTGTTTTATGTTAAAACTTAAACTGTAGGCACCACCATTTACTTCTCACAAATTCAGTTCATAAAATGAAATTTATGGTTGCGAATCGTCTGTTTGGGATGTGAGGAGATATTGGAAAAGGAGGTATTTGAAGGTTGACAGTGAAGAGGCATGGCGGATGTTATGTGGCAAAGAATTCCAATAGGAGCGGGCTAAGAAGGAACGTTCATAGGTTTTTGTGTTGTGTGATGGAATATAGAGGTCAGAATCACGGGATCTCGTTTTTATTCAGTGGACTAAAGGTTTCGGCTTGAGGAGACAGTATATATAGGAAGGGTGCTGGGAGTTGATCGTTTGATATAAGAAATTTCCAAGGAAGTAAAGGCGGCGGGAAGAGGGGAAGAGCCACTTTGACTCGGAATGGGGACACATGAGACCATCTCGAAGTGCCGAAGACAAATCTTAAAAAATAGTTCATGATTCTCTTCAGTCTGTCCTCAAGCTCCAACGAGAGACCACCATATACCACACAGCCATAGTCAAAGTAGGAGAAAATCAATGAGGAGCTTGCGGATAGGTTGTGGGAGATGCTGATGAGAACGATGAAATAGTTTAAGTATACCAATTGACCTTCTGGAGATATGAGCAATATGGGGTTTCCATGATAGGTTTTGATCAATGGTAATTCCTAAGTTATTTACAGAGGGGGAGAAGGAGATTGGTTGGTCATTAATAATCAAGGAAGGAAGGGTGGAGATGGATCTAAGGAAGGAGTTGGAACCTATAAGAATTGCCTGAGTTTTTGATGCGTTTAAGTTAAAATTATTCAAGCTTGCCCAGGCACTGATCCTATCTGATATTAGTGTGATATATACTAGTAGGCCCCTGCAAAAAATTGCACAGCATATTGTTTTCAAATGCCAAATTAATAAGAAAATATAATAATCCAAGGTATCAAAGGACAAAGAAATCAATTGTTACTTTATCGAGAAATATATTCGACAAAGCAAACAAATATTAATTTAAATCTAAATTAATGTTTGGAACCAACATGTTTACAAATTTCAATAAGCTGTATCTTTATTAAAAAATGTCTGATTTCGATGATTTTTACCTTCTGTAGGAAATTTAGTAATCTTTTATATAATCATGGGCATAACCGAAAAAGTGTAATTTTTTAGTTATTCGCAAGTAAAGTTTGTTTTCTTCCATAACTTGTTTACCTGAATTTTCGGGGTGATTACACTATTTTGCCCGCCTGAAGTAGAAGGAAGCCTTCAAAATTAACGATGATATGGCTTGCCGATCAAAAACGCCGATGAATAATATAAACTCCTCTCTCGATCATAGAAGCCTCAAGTCGAAAAAATGAGACATTTATTGAAGAGAGTACTGCAATTAACGTTAGGTTGTGTATGCCTATGCCTTGCGTTTTCTCGAAAATAGTAGGTTTTGGGGCTTAAAAACGCAGGATTCGATATTTCCTGAGGAACTATCTGGGTTTTGCTGTACGCATCAAAATCTTCAAGGCCCAATTTGTCTCGTTTCGATCTACAGACCCACCGTTCCAGTATTGAAGCCTAGGAAATTGTTTGTTTCGACTTTATTTATTTTAGAAAGAAAAACAAAAGTGGAGAATACGATTCGCTAACCCTCCGTGAAATTCTGAATCCAACGGTGCTCCATTCATGGTATTTCAGCATGACAGGAACTTATATTTGGTACAAAACCGATTTCGAGCCTTACTGTAATAATATATGTGGGGATAATAATAAACAAATAGATAAAATAAAATACGTAAAAAATAAATTGTGACAACAATAAAATCATTGAGTATCACGCTGTAAACGAGGAAACAGTCTGAACCAATTACTGTAATTCATGTGGGAAACTTTAAGGACTCTCATGGTAATGGCGTTCATCGTTCCCTTGGAGATACTCACCAGATCCATGTCTTGGAAAGAACGTCGCCACCATATTCCTCTCCACATTATTGTGAGCGGGAGTACTTTGATGTCCACGCCTGGCACTCCCAGTGTATGCCCAATCGCCATCCTACAATCCAGGTCCTTATATTTGTTGGCTTTAACATTTTATGGAAAGCAATTTCCAACATGTTCACCACTGTCATGCCGCTGCACTCTGCCACCATGAGACAAAATGTAGTGTTGTATAATGTGGCTGGCAGTTTCGCTTGAAGGACACCCAGCTCTATATTGGGTTGGCATAAAGGCCCTATGTCCTCTGGATAATCTCACTCGGGTTGCGAGGGCATTTATGTGGATTTTTACCGTTCGTATGAAGGTCTGTCCGGTTACTGGAGCCGCGTAGTCTGTCAACCAATGAGTTGATGGGTGACAGTTTTTGATTCCCTCAATGCCTTACCATCAACGCTACGATACAACTTCGTGGACAGCGTTTTCTTCCGTTCTTCACTCGAAGTGTTTTCTGAGTTGAAGCCCATTTTCGTAAGGTTGCTTGTGAGTTTTATCATTTCCTTAGTAATAAAAGAGGAGTGATAGGCGGTTCTTGCTACTGGGCAACCAGAGTATTCCATACGTCGTAACCTAGCGAGCTTGAGTGAGGGTAATAGCACTTCTATATCTCATTACACCCTAACCACCATCAGTACAAGCAGAGTGGAAATATGTCTTCTGATATGTTGATTTTAAAGTCCTTAGGAGTTTTATAGTGATATTCAATCTTCAGTGACTCCCCAAGTTATTTTCGAGGCATCGAATCGGATGCTGCCTTCAGGTCCACGAATGCTAATTAGACATTCTGGCCATAGTCCCCAGGACTTCTCTCTCACATTTCTCAGGCTGATGATATTATCTTGTGTTTGCCTGTTAGTCTTAAAAACCCTTTGTTCTTCCTGTAGGATAGGCTCCACCATTGGCCTTAACCTGCTCCCGAGAATGGAAGTATATACTTTGTTAAGGAGGGGAATAAAGCAATAGATCTGTAGTTGAAGCAATCACTTACAAACGCTTTTCTAAAAATTTAAAGATGATGGGAGAATTCCTCAAGAATGGGAGCACAATATTATAATTCTCTTCTACAAGAATGGAATTGAAATTATGTAAATCAATAATGAAAAATCAAACAAAACAGTCTATTATCAATTCAAGTAATATACAAACTAAGTTATCGTTTTCTTGATTTTAACCTTTCTTTTAACCAAATATTTCCTAATAAAAATATCAATATCTCTTTCTTACACTGACTCAATATGTTTCTCCTATCCAAAATAATTTTCTCTGTGTTTCCTTCTGCTGAAGAAAACACTTCCCCAGAAGATACTGATACCCTGGGATGTACATATACTCTTTTGCTATTTCAAGAAGAAGGTGATATTCGTCAAAATCTTTGTTTCTTTACAAAACAAAAGTTAGTTGACATTATTGCTGCAAATTATTTTGAACAGTAATTGTTGAGTTCATTGTAGTTGTTTTCTGCAGCTTTTATTCATCTTTCAGTCAGTCTCTCAATATGAACCAGAACACTGCCACTTTAATATGTTTATGGTGAATCATCGGTTGTTGAAGTATCATCAGAAATACCTGCAATGGCTATAGTTGGCTGGTCAGTTCTGCTCTTTTTTAGAAAAGACTATATCATTTTGTAGCCATGATAGCATTAATTTTTACTAAAAAAATTTTTTTCTTCCATTAAGGATCCAGAAGAGTGGTCAACAAAGGGATGCTTCTTGTTTCATGACAGATGACAGCAACCTCCTTACAGTTACATGTATACCAAAAGGGTAGAAATACATACATTTTGCTTGATATTTTAAGTCAAATAATTAGTCTATATTACGTATGTACAATAAAATATTAACCATTATATACCTATAAACTAGCACTGCTGTGGACAAGCAAAAGACTGGTGGTGCCCCTGGTTTAGACGCCATTGACGCGGCAATTTTCAAGAACAGTATTCCCTGTATAGAAGAAACAAAGTTGGCTGTTTATAATGATTGCCTAGACAAGTAATACTTCCCAAGAATCTGGAAAATCGCTAACGTCAAGCTCATTTACAAAGGAGGAGACAAAGATAAGCAATTAGCCAAATATTATAGACCTATATGCCTCCTCCCTGTCATGAGCAAGGTGTTAGAAAACCTGATACTCACCAGCCTACGGCCAGTCTTCTCGAGAGCGAGTCATCTACGGCAGTACGGATCCCCTAAAGGCAGGGGAACCACAGATGCCCTGCTGAGAGTGCGCCATGATGTCGAAGAGAAGGCGGAGAAGTATGTTATGCTCCTCCTTTTTGACATATCATCCGCCTTCGATAGCGTCTGGTGGCCGAGCATACTCCAGCAGTTGCAAAGGTATGAAGCTCCCAGCAACTTGTATGGCTTAATCAGAAGCTATCTCCAAGGTAGGACAATGAAAATTAAAGGTAGCTTCTATGAAGTAGAAAATACAGTGCAAACGGGTTGTCCACAGGGCTCTGTTCTTGGCCCTGCCTTATGGAAACTGGTCTTTGAAGAGTTGCTGGGAGTGCTAGAACAGGAGCGGTTCCCCACAACTGCATATGTAGATGACCTGGCATTTGTAGTGGCCTCAAATAGCAGGGCCAGATTAAAATATGAAGCTGAACGTTGTGACAACCTTGTAGAAGAATAGTGCGAGAGAAAGAAGTTAAGGATGGCGGGTTCCAAGACAAGAAATCAATCCTGAGGGAACAAAGGAGCTCATAGAGTGCCATGGAGATTAATTACATGCTGCGATAAATAAAAAAGGGAATTAAAATACCAAAAATAAATTTGTGTTTTAGGATATTTGATTTCTGTTGATAAATATTTTTTTCATTACAAATTTTAATGTTGATTAATCTAAATGGGTTCCTAATTGTTGCTCTTGTGTAAAATTAATATGAAATGTTATTGATTATTGTTATCTGCTGTCATTTCATATTTTTAAAAAATAATAATAATAATAAGTGCATGAATAATTTGTTCCACTGTATATATAAATAAAACATATGTTTAATATTTATTAGTTCTTTCTAGATGCAAGTTTAAGTTTCAAGTCAAGATAAAATTTATAGAATGTTACTCAAATTATCATTCAGTGTATGTTTTTAATTTGTAAATAAGTTTTATTCATTTTTAGTGACATATTAATAAAATGTATAATTTGCAGAAAAATAATTTAGCTGCAGGAAATATTCTTAAAGAAAGCTTGCTAAGGATGCCAGCATTGATGGTATGTTCATTAGTGTGATATAAGTTCACAGCTCTTAATGTTTTATTTAATTTAAAGATATTTCAGTGAAAAAGATATAAAATAAATACTAAAATAATTTAGTGGATCAAAGGCTAGTATATTGAATTGCTGCTGATGAAATTGATATTTCTAAAATGCATTAATTTTTAATTTTCATTTACCTTTATTACATAATTTCGTTGATATGATCTAATGATGATTAATTTGGATTAAACTAATTGGCATAGTCTATAAGTACCATTTTATTTCATAAAATTTCTGACATACTTTAGTATAGAATTACACAAATGTACATCTTGAGACTGTAATTAATAGGACCCAATCAATAGTTATCAATTTCGCTGCTTATGAAAGATTTATAAGCATTGATAACATAAGGATTTCACATTTTTAAACAAAACTAAACAAATCTTGTAATTATTGATTATATTTTGAAAGATAGATACTTGAATTAGGTTTATCTACTCATTGATTTTCATAAATTTATTTAATTTCAACAGATATTTTTTGTAAGACTGGCAATAATGTTAAATTAAAAAAATATATATCAGGGCTTTCTTAATGTAAGTCTCCGTAATTTATCCAAATTACCATAAATTTATGATATTGAAAAATTAATCTTAAAAATCTTGTATAATAACAATATTTTAATAAAGTGTTTTTATTTTACTTGTATTGATTCCATGAAATACCATCTTTGATATATTTCATTTTTTAAAAAATGCCATTAAGTATCTATCAGTTATTTGAATGAAGTTGGCGGTGTGTCCAAGATTATGTAATCTTTCTCATGCTTGCAGTCCAGTTCGTTGTTAGTTAATATTATTGTAAATAGAAAAGAGTAGTTAATTCATATTTAGTCATTTTTAAAAAGAAAACTCTGGATTGAGGTCTTCAATAGAAAATTAATTCTGGAGTTTCATAAGTGTTAAGATTACATTGTTTCTCGAGTAACAATTATAATTGTATTTGTGTAAATAAGGCATCCAGCAAAGATTGTCCAAAGAATTGGCACAATATATTAGTGAGTGAATAAATGGAAATAAAACAAGGAAGTTGGTATATGCAATGCATTATGAAAGTGATTAAAGCCATCATTATTGAAAGATTTAAGCCAAAAGCAGAAGGGGGTTTTATTGCGCAAATTGCGCCATCACAATTTTTGAGGGAGACACATTTTTAAGTGGTTATGAATTTTTGAGGGGTCCATATTTTCTACAGGGTTATGAATTTTCAAAAAGTCATTTCTTAATAACATTTTTCTTAATTTTCAATTGGTGTCATTTAAAGGACAAGATTTCTTTTTTCATCACAAATTATGGCCCGTGGACTTAATGGAGATTTCAATGTGACTCCTGGGTCAAAAAGTTAGGTCGTTATTCTCCAACATTTTATTTATTATGTATTTTATTTCGACGTTTCGAAACCACTAGGGCCATTTTCAAGACTGAAAAAATTTTAATGTCATTGTTAGATTACATTTACATTTACAAAATCAATTTTATTGTATATAATTATCTAATTTAATGATCCATGTCATAAAATTTCATTATATATAAATTTATATACTTTTTTAAAAGCCCATCATGTATGTAACTTTACTCATTATATACAATTGATTTTTATCTTATCGAGTCATCCATTAAATTTTAAATTATTCACTGTTATATTAATTTTTCGGAGAAAATTAAAACTGTCCTATAATATATAAGGCTCCTATAATATCTTATAACATCATTTCTTTAGGGGCTAACTTATATCTTCGTGGTGGGGATGGTCAAAGGAATAGGGGCTTTTCTTCTATGGTTTTATAATGGTGTATTATTGTATCTAAATTATGGTTTGCATATTGCTTTTAAATTAATTATTATATTGTATGTGAATATTTGTATTACATTTACGTAAAAGGTATTTATATTGCCCACATCTGTATGGTTGTTAACGGAACTCTTCAAAGTTTTAGTGATATATATTGTCTCTATAATTTTTCTTTTATTGTTAATATTTTCCTTATATATTATAGGACAGTTTTAATTTTCTCAGAAAAATTAATATGACAGTGAATAATTGAAAATTTAATGTATGACTCAATAAGGTAACAATCAATTTTATATAATGAGTAAAGTTACGTACATGATGGCTTTTAAAAAATTATACAAATTCATACATAGGTATGACATGGATTGTTGGATTAGATAATTATATAAAATAACATTGATTTTGTAAATGTAATTCTAACAATAACATTATAATTTTTCCAGACTTGAAAATGGCCCTAGTAATGGTCGAAATAAAATAAACCATAAATAAAATGTTGGTGAATAATGGCCTAATTAATAAAAAGTAAAATAATATCTTGTCTTCGTCGGAAATAAAGTTCGAAATCATGATTATGATTTTCTTTTCTATTATGTTTTTATAAATGCGACATTTTGGAAATATACACTTAGATTTCTAAAACTCACACACAAAAAAAAAAAAAAAAAAAAAAAAAATGCAAGCAGCAGGCAGAATGTTCTACATTCACTTCTTTTGTAGGCTGATGTTGAGAAATCTGGAAAATTTCGTATGGTAAGATAGTAAAGTACATTAGTTAAAGAAAGCTATCTGTAATATAATATAACGAAAGAACATCAGCTTTCCAAATTCTATCAGGTGCAGCTTCAATTGGAAGACTAATTGCGCCCAGAGTTGTGGATTTGGAAGCGCCACTAGAATTACCTAGTTCCAATGTTGGCGAAAGATCCCTTAACGAACCTACAGTCAGATGTAGCTGGCAGGCGTAATAAGAATGGTATTAAGCAATTCTTTTTGTCTTAATTTCAAAGTAGGGACCACTAGCGGATCCAGGATTTAATTTTTTTTTTGGAGGGGGGCTTCAGCCTGAAAGCTTTTTTTTTCATAAAAATAACGATAATTGCTTTGGAAAATAAGAAAGAAACTAACTACCTATATGAACTGGTGTTTAAGTGATTCCTAAAGCCCTTTTAAATGTAATTACACTAATAATTATACATTAAGAGATAATTTTTTTCGATAAAACCTGGTTATATTTTACCATTTTGGGGGGGAGGGCTTCAGCCCGAAAGCCCCCTCCTCTCCTCCCGTAGATCCGCCCGTGGTAGGGACTATTAAAACATAGTGCTTAGCTCGATGAATGAGGTTAAAGATGTCTTGGACAGCCTCTCCTTACACATCGCGGTTATACTACGTTTCGAAAGAATATGAGTTCTCGATGTCATTAGTGGTGAAAATGATGCACGTCAAATTGTGCTTCGAACGAGTACCTAAATGTAATAATTTGATTAAGTGATACGGTCGATAACCACGGTCAGTGAACGCTAATTTTTACCGACATTGTCAAAATCTGAGACAGGTTATTATAAACGACCCTGCGTCTTGGAAATAAGTTATCTAAAAAAAACAAACTCAGAATAATTCTGATTCCGATCAAATCGGAGACCAAATAATTAGTACCTTCCTTCATGAAAACATTCCCAACAGCAGCTATTTCGAGAAAAGAACACTTTGTAATAAGAAAATACAAATTGTTATCGTGACTAGTTTTATGAATTGCATAAGGATTCTTCAAGAAGTCTATAGTTGCTGGAGGTTCCAATGCTTCCAGATCTGTTGGAACTGCATAAAAACTGGGTCCGGGAGAAAACCCGTATTTTCTTATACTCGAATTGCGACAGGAGTAGAAGTTTTTGCATCTCACGGCCGCTTGATGAGGTGACGTAATATGACAAACCATTAGATTAATAAAAATGGTCATGACAATATATATTTTTTTAAATATTACAGTTGTAAATTCGTCTATGAGGATGAATTTATATTCATCTATATTTCTCTTTTCTTTAAATAGCTGCTTTTTCGAAATTTTTTGCCCAGCATCCAGGGGGAGGGTCACCCTCTTGCAGAATTCGCTAGGGCTGGTCAGAACAATAATTTTTTTTATATATTACATTAAAAAATAGTCTATGTGGATGAATTTTCCCTATGTTTCTCATTCCATTAAACATCTGCTTAAAATATTAGTTTTCGAAAGGAAGGTCCTTCGGAAGATATTTAGCCAAGTTAAGGAGAATGTTGAATGAAGAATTAGACGCAACCAAGAACTAGCTAACTTATACAAGGAGCGGGATGTGGGGAAATGGAGAAATATATCCGGCCAGCAAGGCTGAGGTGGGAGGGCATAGCTGTACGGATGGACGAGACCTCAATTCCAAAGAAGCTGCTGAGCATGGAGCCGGGTGGAAAAATAAAAGTGGGCAGTCCGAAACTGACATGGAAAGCTGGAGTAAGTGCTGACGCCAGAATCTATGGGATTAGGGACTGGTCGAGACTGCTCAGGACAGGGAAATATCGAGGAAAACTCTTAAGGCAGCCAAGTACCAGTAATCAATTGCCTTACTCGGGATGATGATGATTACATTACAAAATTCGCCTTAATGGATGGTTATTTCCTATATTTCTTTTTTCTTTAAATAGCTTGTAAGACGGGTGCCAGGAAAATAATAAATGATTACTGATCTTTTCCTCGCGCGGGCTCATTACCGCGTATGGGGAGCGTCCCACGGGTGGCGGATTTGGGGATGGTCGGTGGAAATTCCTTGGAAGTTCCTCCCGGCTAAGTCCGATGGACTCGCTGACCAACAATGAGAGGGGCCCTCCAGACTTGCTGGAGGGAGGGAACCTCCAGACTTGCTGGAGGGAGGGAACCTCCAGACTTGCTGGAGGTAGGGGCCCACCAGACTTGCTGGAGGGTGTGACGTAGGATTGAACGCCCTACTCACATGTCTTTAGTTCAGCAAACACCACAAATAGTCATGGATCTCCCTAAGGTAAAACGCTCATTATCCGGAAGTAAACTAGTCCCCCGTTCGGGTCTCCGGGTGGGAACTGCTTTAGGGGATTCATGGCGCAAGTTGAAATATAGGGATTTAAATATTAGTACGTGGAACGTAAGAAGTTTA